ACCCCCCGCCCTCGTCGAGTGATGCCCAGATGCCCCAATGCCCAAATGCTCAAAGTGATGCTAAACCCACAAAACCCCAAGCCCTAGCTGCCACCCAGAAACAAAAAAACGTGAGTGAATTCGAAAAAAACAGTTAAAAAAAAAAGAAAAAAGTGTTGTGTGCGTGTGAGACATCAAGATATCAACGATGGCCCCCAAAATGGAGTATAGCAATCGATGGACACTGAAATAATCCCCAGGAGTCGAGAGACCCCGAGGAAGCTTGGAAAGAGGTGAGAGGCACTTGGATAAAGTTAAAAAATGGAGGATCACCTCCTGATGACGGAGCTACCGCCACCAGGAACACTTCTGCACAGGTCTGGCCACTATTATCAGCTGCACCAGCCGCACCTGGCGGTCAGCACCAATCCCTCAACTGTCCTGGAGACACCTGTGCCCTATCCCCATAATAAAAAGCATTGCAGTAACTACGGTATCGCACGTCACCTGTCGGACCTCAGGACCATCGAGAATGTCACCACAAGTACTCATATATCGAGTTTATATCCGGAGATCCTCGCCCACATCTTCAGCTACCTGTGTGTCAGGGACAAGGGAAGGGCTGCACAGGTGTGCGTCTCCTGGAGGGACGCAGCATATCACAGGTTAGTTAATTTATTGGAGAAACTGGTGATGGGGTTAACTGGATAATTATTAGTTGGAGAATCGGTCAACTTATTGTGATTACACTTTTGGGAATCCGATCCAAGTCAGTCACCGATTTTATTCATCGTCCAGAGTTCTTCCACATTATTTTCAACTTCTCCTCGTCATTTTTGAACAATTTCTATCGACCCAGCTCCAATTGTTTTGCAGACTCAGAGTTGTGTCCATTTAAACCTCAATCGATAATCAATATTTAATTTCAATTAATCGATAGATTAATTCAACAAGCAGCTAAATCAGCGAGGCTCTTTTTTTAAATCAATCTTGTTGGAATCATACCGAATAAAATCCGTAAATGAGTTTTACAGGATTTGTTAATGGGAAATTTATTCTCTACTTGACTAATTCGTTGATCGTGAAAGGAATGTTTCAACAAAAAAATGAAGTTAATTTATGGAAAAGAGGATTTTGTGGAAATTTTGGGTGGAAATTTAAGTTTCCATCATGAATTTATTTGATTTCTTCCAGTTCAATCGTTTATTAGACTATTTTCTTGAAGATTCATTCTTTTCCAAAGAGTTTCAATGAGTATAATAAAGTCAGAGGAAAATCAATAGCTAAAATTTCTCACTCTGATATTTCTAAAAAAAAACTATTCCTAAAGTTTCGATAGAAAAGGATCATTTTGTCTGTTTAAATTAGGACATGATACATTTTATTGTACGAAAAATTATGGCAATTTGAATTTTGGTGTTATTTGTTGCAGATCCGTATGGCGTGGTATAGAGGCCCGCTTGCACCTGCGAAAGCAGGCACCAGCAGTATTTGCAAGTCTGGTCCGACGAGGTGTAAAAAGAGTGCAGATCCTGTCCCTGAGGCGGGGCCTAGGTGATGTAGTGAAGGGTATAACAAACCTCGAATCCCTGAATCTCTCCGGCTGCTACAACATCACAGACACAGGCCTAACAAGTGCCATTTGCACGGAATACTCATCGCTAACAGAGCTGAACCTGTCTCTGTGCAAGCAGGTGACTGACAATTCCCTGGGTAGAATTGCCCAGTACCTGAAGAACCTAGAGTCCCTGGAACTGGGTGGCTGCTGCAACATCACGAACACAGGTCTGTTGTTGATTGCCTGGGGCCTAAAAAAGCTGAAGAGACTCGACCTGAGGAGTTGCTGGCACATCTCAGACGCTGGTATAGGCCACCTGGCTGGAATGAGCAGAGAGACAGCTGTTGGAAATCTCGCCCTGGAGCACCTGGGTCTCCAGGACTGCCAGAGAGTCTCAGACGAGGCCCTCAAACACATCTCCGTGGGCCTTACCTGTCTCAAATCCACTAATCTCTCGTTCTGCGTCTCGATCACTGACTCTGGCCTCAAACACCTAGCGAAAATGTCAAGTCTCAGAGAAGTTAATCTCAGGTCCTGCGATAACATATCTGACGTGGGAATGGCGTACCTTGCAGAGGGTGGCAGCAGAATATCATCCCTTGATGTATCTTTCTGCGATAAAATTGGGGATCTTGCTCTTGTGTACATATCCCAGGGCCTTTTCAATCTAAAAAGTCTGTCGTTGAGTGCTTGTCAGGTTAATGACGAGGGTATCTGCAAAATTGCTAAGACTCTTCATGAACTCGAGACTCTCAACGTCGGGCAGTGCAGTAGACTCACTGACAAGGCCCTTTTTACCATTGGGGAGAGCATGGGACAGTTAAAATGCATCGATCTTTATGGCTGCACAAAAATCACAACCAGTGGACTTGAGGTCATCATGAAAATGCCGCAGATCACAACGTTGAATCTGGGGCTCTGGCATGTGAGGTGATGAGGACGATTGAGGGTTGTATATAGGAGCAGGGCTATGGATTTCTAAGGGATTGTTGTTGAATTTTTGAGATCTTTTTGGGGCTCAAATCCTCAAGAAATGGTTGGAATGAGAATGAGAGGGGCAATAGAAAAATATTCATGGGACTCTCAGCCCCAAAATAAAATCCACGAAATTTATGAGATTGTACTTACGAATTGAGACTCGAGTTGAGCATCTCCAGGCGACCATCAACGATAATTCACGATCTAACATTCATGTTTCGTTAGGTAATCCTCCACCACTTTGCATTGTTGGTTTATATTATTCTTAAGTTGGTCAAATCATGTTAATCACGATCTATTGATTATTTTAGACGTAACAGACGATTTAAGTGTCGCAGAGTGATTGTTTGTCATTGAAAAAACACTTTGCACGTTCGATAATTAGTTAAACGTTTATTCGTTTTTTTTTCATTAACTAGACATTAATCGTTTCTACCTCGTTTTTTTTTAACTTTATTATTGTGAAAATGAATAATGTCCTCACATAACGATTTGTGATACAATTTTGCTTATTGATTATTTGTTTTTCTGCATTCGTTTATGGTTTGAAGACAGGGGAAAAATTATTTGCTCAGTTTACGATGAAAATAATGATTGTGATAAAATAGACATACGAGTCGAGTTGGACTCGAGTTGGATTCTTGATAGTATATTTCTAAATTTAAACTAGATCTTTTTTTCTATTGAGCAATTGGTGAAGACAAGTTGTAAAGAAATCACGGGAAATCATTCGATTCATTACTTAGGGCTTTAATTAATCAGGGGAAAGTATCGAGTCTCTTTTGTACCGTTCATGATTTTTTATCCCTTGAAAATTTTAGTCTAGAGTCATTAAAATGTGATCTCCAAGAACAAAGTCACAAGATAGTTCACAGGTCAAGAGATGTGAAGATTATTGATAGGTGAATTAACTGTAATTTTCGTTAACTGTAACTTTTTCTACGTTTTTTTATCGTTAACTGGGAATATTATGTCACGAGTGGTTATAATGTATAATATTGGGGGGATTGAGGGGACGATTAAGTGAATAGAAGATGAAATGAGAGGCAGGATAGAGTGAAATCTTGTGAAGTTGAAGATGTCCTAAACGTCCTTTTCACGTGCTAAATGTGAATTGGTCTCGGTAAAGAGGGAATTTAGGAGATGATTGCTGAATTACGTCTCATCACTTCTCCTGAATCAATTCGTAGACCTTTCCCCCATCGGAAAAATCAAATTAATTAGTAATTAACGGATTAATTCATTAGCATATAGATTCTCCGTTAGCAGAAGCAATTGCTAGGTGCAAGTGTGCAATCAACAATTTGCAAGAAAATTTTAATGATTTGATTTCCATATGGATTGCGGTTTTTCAAGTGTAAAAAAAATCATTCAACTGATATTCTGATTTTTTGCCATAACCGTAGGTGATTAATTTTGTATGTATAGAATAAAATATCTTGATTTAGTCTGTATAAAGAAAACATTTTTAATTTTATAATAGTGTAAGTAATGGTTAGGTTTAAAAATGGTAAATAATGATTCAACTCACGTATGTAATATCATCTAGAAAAGTGGCCTTATCGCATTGAATCTATAGCGTGCATTAATCATTTTTTAAGACAAATAGAGATGAGGGAAATTTTGAGGTCACGAAGGAGAGAATTCACTTCTTTCGTCAAAATCATGATGCAGGGGAAATTAATTTGTTGATTAATTTGTTGCTGGATCATTAATGATCATTTCAGTTCAGCTAACGCGATGATGATCCAATGGGAATGCTATGCATTTTTTTTTTGTCTAGGAAAGACAAAAAAATAAAAGGATTTGTTTTTAATTTCGAATGCTCGATGATGGTTGAGGGAGAGAATTGTAGCGAACTGCATTCATCAAAAAGTGCATAAAATAAACCATGTAATATTTTTTGTGTACAATTCCTTGTTGAAATATATTATTTTTATAAAATAGAAATTTATGGGATTTTTTACTTGTTTTGGTCAAAACATATAGAATTGTGAGAATCAAAGTTATTAAATTTGCCGATGAAATTTTTTCAGTATTTCGGGAAATTAATGAGTTATTACCATTATTCACTTTATAATTTTTGAAGGATTTATTTAAATATTTGTTTCTCATAAATCAGTGATTCAAACTGTTCAAACCGTAGTCTAAAATTGATTTTCGGTAAACCCCCGAGTATAAAAAATCTTACAATCAGTAATAAAAATGAAAATAATTATATTAATATGAACATCATAAAATAAATCAAATCAAGTCAAAATATGACCCAAAATATTAAGAAAAATAATATTCACGTAAAAATTCTCTGGCTTTGAACCGAAAACAAAAAGGCTCAAAAATATCAAGACAAAAATAATCGAGTCTCATATCTACGAATTTAAAAGCTCCGCCTAAAGTTAGGAGCTCTCACGTGACACCTCGTGTGTTCTCTTTTGAACAAATCTCTTCTATTGGCTGAATCCTTCCATTACACTCGAAAAAAAAACCATCAGAAATCGCAGCATGAGAACTACCCAACCCCGAAACTCTAATTTGTCACCCCCTGGCACAATTCAATATATAGACTCCTGAGTTATCCACAAATAAACCTACCAGTGACACTTTTTTTTTCTTTATTTCTCCATTATCAGTTGCTTTACTGTCCACGAAATAAACAGCAAATCGAATGAACTAATGAATGGTGACACACATTACTCATTTACAATAATAAATACCTTAATTACAACTGTTACAATAAAATAATGGATCAGGGTTTGTGCAGAGAGATGGAAGAACGTATTTCGATTCGTGACACGAGTAGAAAATTGAAAAAATACGGAAGCACGTCGAAACATTTGATAAGAAATGAAAGTCTGGTCAAACATTTTGTAAGTAAAAGTGATACACTAGCTGGTATTGCCCTGAGGTACGGAGCAACGGTAAGTAATCAACGAATTCATTAGCAATTAATTAATGAACTGTCTGGAAAATTCCGAACCGAAATTTACAGAAAGAATGTCCTAATTCTTTCAATTACTTTCAATCGTCGATATCTCAAGAGTGGCTGAGTGAATTTCTAATTTTTTCTCATGTTCGTCCTGCTTTTTTTTTCAACGTTTAAAGTGAGGGTTGACTGATACATTTTGGATCATTGATTGTTGAGATATTGGGGATTAAAGAGCGAGTGATTTGGTGGATGTAATCCAGTGGTATTTATTTTGTTTCAGACTGAACAAATTAGGAGGATAAATCGACTGTGGGCGACTGACAGTCTATTTTTACGTGAATATTTACTAGTACCTGTCCCTAAGGACTCGAATACGCAACAATTTAATGATGGAATTGCAAGGGAAAACTCAGGGGTTGAGTGTGAAGTACCTAGTGCTGTGCAAATGGCATCTACGAGTGATGATAGTGATGTGGACAATTTTTTAGCGAAAATGGACTCGTCTATTGCTAGTGTCAAGAAGGAGATTCAGAAGGTGCAGGGACAGAGCTCGTAAGTCAGATATTTCAGTAGCGGATCCGTAAAGAGAGTTAAATCGAAAACGAATATTTTATAGACGAAATTTAATCAAGGATGTTTTACACCCTTACTGTAAAAATTCACATTTTTTGTCATTTTTCTGACAAACTTACGATGGAATTGAAGCGATACAATTTGCAGCCAAATTTATAAATATTTTACTCTAACGAGATCGAATCCAAACCAAAGATTACCTTCGATAGTACCTGTAAGACTTAAACGATTTTTTTATTGCAGGAAAGCTATTAAAAATCTAGCAGCGTTGAGTCGATTTTGTCGGAGATGCATCATTTGTTTTAAGAATTCACTTTAGTAATCAAATAATTAAATATTAACCATTTCGCTAATGATTTTTATTTTTAATAGCGTCAAAGAAATTAATGTTTCGAAATAGTTCGTTGTGTCTCCTTGAAATATTCAATATGCCATTGTGGGGATTCAAATTTGTATATTATACAAACTTTTTTACGAAGAAAATACGAATGATTTCGAGAATATCGCAGTCTCTCGAGGAGTTGAACGAATTTATTGTAACTTGTGCAACTATTCAAATTGAACGTTTAAATATTTGCTAATATCCGGTGGTCCTTGCAAGGGAAAATTTTTTAGAAGCTTTTCATACGCCTGTTGTCTACAAAAAAATATTTTTTAGAATTTTTTTTTCTATCTCTTTCTGATAGCTCAAATATTACAAATTTTTTTTGGAAGAAACTAGACTAAATTTCTTCGAGTCTATTATCAATTTGGCGATAAGAATTAAATGATGATAAGATATTACATGGCACAAGCGACTTCAGCTGATAAAATCGGAAATTTGGGATGAATCGATTTATTTTTGTATATATCTGGTGAATTTTTTAGTGAATTTTATAACTAATTTCAGCTTCATGTCAGACGATGGAGTATTCGTGCAACGAAGACCAGGAACTCGGAGTTTACGTCACAGTTTGACCCACTCAACCCCTCCAATGAGTTCGACGAGTTCATCCCTGAATCACCACACGAGATCATCGTCCGAAGATGACGTCCACGATCTTCCATCAGCCGTTGTCATGACACACGGAAAAAAATTGAAAACATCTCTCCAAAAATTGCAACAGCAACAGGACGAGATATTTCAATTGTAGCTAATGAACAATGACGTTGAGATGACACTACCCTGTATCCTATATTTTTATTTTTTAATTTATTGAAGGTGCTCAAGTGGAGTTGCACCCGGAGAGAATATTTGCACGTGCATTTCCACTGAAAATGTTTGACATGACGACTAGAAAATAAAGTTAGTCCCGAGAAAAATCAGCAGAGCAGAACAAAAACAATACAAACACAAATGTTATTTTTTAACGAGACAATTCCATTCGTTTTTAATTGAATTTTATTTTTCTAATTATTCGAAAAATCACGAAGGAAATTTATATATTATATTAATCTTAAGTAACGCGGGACAATTTTGTCAATTAATGTTTACTTATTACCAATTGCCCAAAATTTTTTAACTGCACCACCTACTCCTGGCCCATTGTAGGCCAATGCCAGGAGTCCAGCGAGTGTCACTATTGACATGGTGTACAGAGCAGCGAATAGAATTTTTGGGAGAACTGGTCCCACCACTGCTGGCCTTGCGTAGTCCAGGATAACTGCCTCGAGACCCCTGAGGATTTTAATAATTCAGTGGTTTAACGAGAGCAGCTTACACTGAGAAAATTCATCTTTTTTTAAAAATCCTTCTTTACTTCTACCCCAAAATTTGTGGTTTGAAAATTATCAAGTGCAGAATAACGTCAACGTCCCAGTTACATTAAGAAAATATGTCGTTCAATTATTTGTATTTTCGAAGAGTAAAAGAATCCAATGGGATTAATTTATACCGGATTTACAAGAATATCGATTGTAATGACAGTAAATCCCCTTGAAAATCTGACATAAATGGAGAGATGTTGGAATATTGTACAAATATTCCCATGTGTTATCGACTGTTTTTAGATCGAAGTGTCAAAGTCTGGGGCATTGAACAAGGGAATCTCCACCAAAAGGGAAGCGCTCCCAAAACGCTAAACTCTCCCTTTTTTATTGGATTAAAAATATTTCTCGCGGTCTTCAGCCGATGATGATAGCTCGTAGCGGAAGTGTACGAAATTTGGTTTATCCCGAAAATATTTCTTCTCACTATTCAGTGAATTTTGTGGTGCTATCTATTAAAAACCGACGAGGGTGGCAGAAACTAGGGCAGGGGAATTAACTGGGATGTTGACGGTACCTCACACTCAGAAAAAACCTATTACGTCATCAAATTTTATACTTGTTCGAAAAATAAGGAAAGTCCCAAGGCAATTAAAATGACTCTTGTATTCGAATATTCCAGTATGGAGACGAAAAAATTAATAAATCAGTTGTTTCAATTTTATTTAATTCAAGGAATGACTTTTTTATCATAAATTATCTTCATGGTCGGAACAAGTACGAAATTACTTGGCGTAAAAATGTTATTTCCTCAATGCAAGATATTTTACCCTTGAAAATTTTCAAAACAAAATTTTCATAATATAAGTAAAGACGTATTTTTGCAAAAATTAATTTGTGCGGATATCTCGGACATTAATGAATTTAAAGGAAAATGTGAGTATAGATTTTTAGAGAGGAATAAATTGCCTACAATAAAAGTCCAATTTCATTTTTCAGGTCCTTTCCGTGTCATGATAATTAAGGAGATAATCGTATCGAAATTTGCCAATGGAACAAAAATTCAAGTCTTCAGTATTTCGGTCATATCTCCGGAGTCCGGAGTGGATTTTGGGGGAAATGTAAAGGAAATTCTATTCTTTAAAAAAAATTCCTTCGACATTTTTTGCTCAACCTCTTCGATCCTGAGATATATCTGGGACATTGAGATGCACATTATCGGTTTTTTGAAACCATAATTTATTCTTTACCGCTGGAATATGATTTTATTGTTGTATTTAATTAATACCACTGGGAGAAGCTTTCGCTTATTACATTGAACTATTTATTTGCCTTTTCTCGTTGAAAGAGAGAGAGTGAAGTTTAAAATTTGTTGTCATCGAGAAAGTGTTGAAAGAATTATGTTTGTCAGTCTCTACTCTCTTTATCTGTACAATAAAATGCAAAATATTTATTGACTGTTAATAAATAATTGATTAATTGACAATATCCATTTTCCAGTATCCATTTTTTGCATCTTGAATTCTGATCTTTAAAAGAGATGGTAACAAAAATGAGCTTTTCTTCCTATCTTCTTTCAGTTCTTAGCGATTAAAAAATGGTGATCATAGTTAATGAAAAAAAATCTTGAAAAATCGTCAAAATTTGAGGATTTTTCGAGTGTCATAATTTCTAAATACTCACCAATGAGCATGCATCACCAATAAAGCAGCGAAAAGCCCATCAAGGACGACATTCTGAACTATTAAAATCCCAGGGAGAAGAACTATAAAGGCAGCAGCCACGACTCTCTCCATCTGCCATAATTTCACATGATCTCCAGTGCTGGAGGCTCTCAGCTGATTGGCGAAGGGTACTAAAGCCCGTCCGATCTGAAAAAAAAGTGGCTTATTGTGCTATTTTCTCGTTTTCACCCGAATTTTTAATGTAACTTTCACAATAACCCATTTTTTAATAAGTAATTCGGAAATGCTCCCGAATGTGGAGCTCATTCGGAATAACAAAAGATAAATGTTTCAGTTAAATAAATTCGAATAATTTAAATAATTTTTATTAGAGGCCTATAACTGTACATTTTTAATTGAGACGCTCTGAAAACTTACGAATTTTGTCTATTTATCTCCTGAAGAAATGATGCGATTGGGATAAATTTGCCGTTATTTTAAAGTTCTTTGAAAAATCTTCGAAATAAGAACAAATTCACCGAGTTTCACTCAGCCAATTCCGAGATAGTGACGTTTAAATTTCAGCCATTTGAAAATACCTTTTGAGAATTTTCAGCGAATGGCCTCAGGGCTGTGACTCCAGATTTCCTGACATTATTGACGAGTGATGTGTAATTTTTCACTACATTTTGGAGGCTCTTCTGGCCCACGAGAAACCTTGAATTGCTACCGCTGACAATTTCTGCAAGACCAACAAAAATGGATCATAAATTAATTTGATGATTTTTGGTACAGAATTTTCAACTGAACATTCAGAAAAATTTCCAGAAATTTTCAGACGCAGCTATTTGCTTAAAAATTGAGATGTCAAAAACCAAATGACAACTTTTAATTTCAACAGAAATTTTCCAAAATCCTCGATAACACAATCAACAATAAAGCCTGAAAAGCAAAGACCCAGAAATTTATGATCAAAAATCTTTCAGATGATGCATCAAATCCGTGACTAACTTCAATTAAAACCCCAAAACCCGATGCAATCCTGTAAAATTTCCAACTTCCAACTGAGCCCTTCCCCCTGATTGTCCTGAGATTTTCGTGAACCGTTCTCCATAATCTCAAAAATGAATTTCCCTTACACAACCTCAAAGGTCTGCCCAAAAAACATCCCAGAATTTCCACGGAAATTCGAAGAAAGAACATTCCTAACTCACTGGAGATAGCTGGAAGTCCCCTGGACAGCTGACACCTCGCCAAATAAGCCATATCCGATAAAAAGACCGCAACAATTCAACAGATCGTGAATTATATAAAAACCGCCGGAAAATCGTCTCCCATCCAGCAAAATCCGCATACACCTAGATCAGGTGCGTATCCATTGACTCCACCAATGAGATGTCAGTGCTGACTATTCTAATCGCTGATTGGCCTATCGACTCCAGAATTCCCCACGAAAACAATCGAGACGATAAAATGTTCGATCTTTGTGTCATTGGACAGTTCTGTCTGGTTACTTCCTGCCAGTAATTCACTCCAGCTCATTATAATGGTTATCATCTCCAGTTGCTGTGACTTATTATCAGGGATTGATTTGGGGGTAATAATGTAGGTAATCAAACGAGATGGTGTCAGAATTATTCTGAAAGGTTCAACCGGTGATTTTCGTCCAGAGGGACATGTACGGAGAGAAAGAGACGCTTTCTGATCATCCGATATCGAATATGTGAGTTCCAGGGGGTTAATTAGGGGAAAGGAGATATTTATGGAATTATTGGGTCGGCGAGGGGGTGGAGAGGGCGTGGATTTCAACTGAAATTTGTTTATTGTTCAATTGTCCAGGTATTTTTATTTACAGCTATATTATTCGATTTTTCAATTTTTTTTCGATGCTTTATTCTTAATTGCCAAGTAGTTTTCCAGGGGTTTATAATATATTCAATTGTTGGGGTATTTTTTCTAGATTTGCGGCTTAAGGGAGATTTTTTCCAGATGATAATCCTTCTTTTAAGGGAGGGGTGGGCAATTGGAGAGGGATTGGTTTTATTTTTGTGTGCGTGGAAATGGTCATGGTTACATTTTTGCAAATTATATGAATGGGTGGCTAAAAGATTTACAAAATTGCATTTTTTTTGTACATATTTTATATTGAAATAGCCAATCACAAGTAATTTATTTATTTAGGACCAATTTTTACTGGTGGAATAGGAAGAAGTAAAAATTTAGAGACAAAGATAACAGGTAAAGTGATTTATGCTTTTTGAATTATCGAAGTTGTTTGCCATTTATTTGTACATAAAATGAAATAAATTGTAAGTAATGATTTTGAGAAGTGAGGGGTGGATAAATGAGGATGGCGAGGCCTGTGGTTTTATTTTCTGTCCGTGAGGTCATGGACTTTTGATTTTTTTCGGTGGTTGCAGGAACAAATCTGTTGAGAACCTCTTGGTTTCCAGCACTGAAGTGCTCAGCTCGATTAATTCCTCCTCCATGGGTGGGACCAAGTCGCACGATCACGAGGACGACTGTCGTCATGATAATCCTGGGAGGAACAGTGATCTCGAGAGGAATCACATGCCCAGTCCCAATGCATCGCCACAGCCCAGCCCCAAGAACACGAAGAGCAAGAAATTTCCGTGGAAGAGTCAGGTGTCCAGTAGTGGAAAGTCCGGGGGAAATGAACCCACTGATGGCTCGACGAAGACTGATGATCAGACGGTAATTATTTTAGTGAGAGAGAGCAAGGCAAAATTATCTGACAAAAAAGCTACAATTAGAGGCAATTCCAACCACTTGTATTCCCAGAAGTTAATTATTAGGGGTATCATTAAAAAATAAGTTTAAGCAGTTTTATTCTGAAGGCTCGATGACCATCGTGAATAATTTTTAATTGAAATTATTAATTTGTGGTGATTTTATTGGGAAAGATTTTTGAAGGTGAAGAAATTTCTGTACAAGAATTCTGAATCATTCATCCGTTGTTTTGTTAAATTATCTCTCTGATCAAGTGAATAATCTTATCTACTGATTCTGGTCCTCAGGAAACGACGAAGGGTTCTTCAGATTCTACTGAACACATTCGTCCTTCCAGCGAGGTCCGGAAGAGCGAGCGCTCGAAGAAAAAGTCGTCTTGGTACAATGTCCTCTATCCAACGTACAAATCTCGGTCCGAGGACTTCAAGAGAATCTTCAAGGACGTACCAGATGACGAGCGACTCGTAGTAGGTCCGTAGAACGATCGAGAGGGAATTCAAAATTAAATAGGATATCAGAAATAAAACGTTCAAGTATTCTTACTGTTTGCTGCGCACTAGACACTATAATCGAAAATATTCTTTGCCAATTCTGATAACTAAATTAAGTTAGAAAAAAATGAAAGGATTCAAGAATATTCAACTACAGTCTAATTATATTTTTCATAGAAAAAAATTTCTTTAATATCTTGTTCTGACAAAAAATATTGACAAAAATGATACCTTGTTAGTATTATATCTATTGCATTCCACAAAACATTGATCTTCCTTCAGATTTCTATGAAGTGATTTACTGATAAAAAAATTCACGTCTTACTGTAGATGTTTCGACATTCCTCTGAAAAACTAGAATGATAATACAATCGAAGGAAACATTGGCATTTGGCATGTCATCGTTTTTTTGCAGTTTTCAGTAGTTTTTTAATTCACAGTAAGGGTAAAATTATTTCAACTAAGAATGTAGGGAAAGGTACCGTCGTAAAATAATTGTGAAAGTACTTGGAAACCCAAGATAGATAAAATTATGACGGTGTATTCTTGATTTTCAGATTATTCCTGTGCCTTACAAAGAGAAATATTGGTTCACGGCCGCTTGTATGTCTCTCAAAATTACGTATGCTTCTATGCTAATATATTTATGTGGGAAACTGTAGTCTCTCTCAGATGGAAGGATGTGGTCTCAATTACCAAAGAAAAGACAGCTCTTGTTATACCAAATGCAATATCAATATGCACCGAAACTGATAAATTCTTCTTAACCACCTTTGGCGCCAGGGATAAAACTTACATGATGCTATTTAAAATTTGGCAGAATGCACTAATTGGACAGGTAATTATCTCCTAATTACCTCAATTGTGAGATGACTAATAGCGAAATTCCTATAGTTTATGTGATTCGTCTAGTTAAAAATGGAATTATCTTGATAACAAATGGATGTACAGCAAAAGTCAGAGGAACTTTTTTGCTGGGAATTTTTTGGAGCACAAAAAATGTTTATGATATTTTTTGTGTAAAATTACTCTTACCCGAGATATAAAGGAAATTGGAAGTATGATTTAAGTATGATATAAGTTGATGTATGATTTTCAAGGATTTCCGCACTCGTCATTGAAACAAACAATGTGAATAGGATTTTGCAATCAGTCGTTAATTAGCGTTTCAATTTTAGCCCATGAGCAATGGTGAGATGTGGTCGCTAGTTCATACATGTTACGGAGAGGAATTGGGCTTGACATCGGACGATGAGGATTATATTTCTCCCTCTGCCCAGGAAGAGGAGAAAATTCCGTCAAGGTTATCAATGGATTCATTCTCAGAGGTAATTCGATATTCAATGTTCCATTCTAAAATAAAGAACTCATTTTATCTCGTTATCGTTCGTCATTCAACGTAATCAATCTGTCTAGATAAACAACTTTAGTAAAATAAATGAACACTACAGGAATTCGTGGGTTCGTCTTCACAGATTACGTTCGGTGATTCATTCTCCTTTTTCCAGATCTCTTCTTTTTTCATTTTTATTCTTTTTTACAGTAGAATTTTTTCTTGGTGATAAATAATACAAAGAATAATTCCGATAAATACCACATATAAACACAGAAATATTCTGATGAAATATTTTAGGCCTTGGAAGTATTTTTACTAATATTCTTCTAGACACGCGTCCCAGACAAAAACACTAGTAGATTTTTTTTTAAGTTATCATAATTATATAACTTCACATTTTTAATCCATGTTTTGCTTTCTTTTTTAACCTTCAATGCATTAATTTAGTTGTCATCTCTGAAGTCTGTGTATGATTCTCATTCATTTTTGTATTTAATCGTCATCTTCGAGATTCTGGATAAACAATAAACACTTCAATTATTAGAAACGTTTATAAACTAAAAATTTTTCTTTAAAAAATGCATTCATGGATTATTCTACATTTTGCGTTACCATTGTTGGCAATAATTAAACGTCCATGTTGTCTTCTTAAGAACGAATGGTTCTAGGAGTTATTCCTTCCAAACGAAAACATCTCGGATAATTCCCAGTTCAAAAGTCGAACAATAACGAATAATACTGTAAACAAAATAAACAGATCAATTGAATCAGAAGTCGGAAAAAAATACCCCAATGAGAGCCCGTTTCCTAGCGTAAATAAAATACGTAGTTTCTCCCGCACATAAATCCGAGATGAAATAGACCACTGAAAAAATAGACCCATGATAATTTCCCTATGGCCCATTAAGGTGGGCGGGGCTGAACACGTTTTGGATGTGTGGAATATTTTTTCCGGTCTATTTCTTCTGCCTACCATTGTGTCCGGGTGATTATACGCCTTAAATTTTAAGGCTTAAAATGAAGGAGAAGCAAAATAACTTTTTTTTCGGGAGATTTTCCGGGGGATTTTTCCCGGGGGATTTCGTCCACGATATTTTTTCCCGGGTGAAAAACTCCGAACACGCATCAAATATATGGACCATATATTTTGTACATATTTTTTATAACATGTGTTTTGTATAATTTTGTAAATGTTTCTCTGCAGAAAGTGCCAAAAAAAAACAATAAATCTGAACAATTAAATCTTGTGATTGCAGCCGGAACCCCCGACTCCTGAGCCGGTGACCACACCATGTGTACCCACTTCATTACCAGTGGAGCTGAATCCAGACCCTACAGACCAGAGTGACACAACAGAGAGCGACGCAGAAAAGCAAAATCTTCGTCTGGGTGTGCGTTCCCCCACAACGTGTACCTCCACCCACGATGGTCGAGAGCTAATAAACACAACCCTCCCAATCCACATAGACCAGCTGTTCACCCTTCTCTTCACAACTTCCAAGTTCTTCCTGGATTTCCACACAGCTCGCAAGACCACCGATTTGATTCAATCCGAGTGGACCCAGCATTCAGAGACAAACAAGAAAATGAGAACAGTATCTCTAACAGTCTCTCTGACACAACCAGTGGGTCCTAGAAAGTCCCAAGTGACTGAGACTCAGATTATGCTGCCATGCAGTCGTCCAGGTCATCGTTACTGCATCGACATCGAAACGAACAACGCAGGAATCCCGTACGCCGACTCCTTCAGTGTCTTCACCCACTTCTGCATAGCCTTCGTGTCAGAGAGTGAAACGAGTCTCCAGATATTTTCGGAGATTAAATTCAAGAAGCACGTGTGGGCCGTCATGAGGGCACTGATTGATAAAAACTGCTGGGCAGGACTGGAGGAGTACTTTGGAAGTCTTGTGAAAGCTCTAAGTGTCGAGTGTGAAGAGACGTCAGCTGGGAATGGAATTAAGAGGAAAACCAGGAGAAGAAGACGAGGGGTTGGAGCTAGTACCCACCAGCCACATCCCCCCGATCTTTTACCTCTCAATCTGGCACCCCCAGGCTTGGAACTCCCTACTTCGGTGGTCAAGCCACGGGAGGAAACCATCTCCATTGTCAACTGGATTCTTCTGATTGCAGTCCTCTGTCTCATGGTCATCAATGGACTGCTGTATTACAAACTCTGGGGCCTCGAAGACGCTGCTGCTTACACTGTCATGGATCTTCATGTCCTCAGAAAGATTCCCAAATCAGAGGAGGACTGGGTGCAACTACTTCAGCAACAAGAGAGCCTTCACAATGTGGAAATGAGGAGGTGGCAGAGAATTTTACAAACTGCTGCGCAGCTACTGAAACAGACTGAGGAGTCATTGACGGAATTGCAGAGGAGCATGCATCCAATGGCTACCGAGAAGATGTTTTCGGTCCTCAAACCCCATTTGAAGGGGTTCTCTGGGGGAGAGGGGACCAGGGGGCAGCGAGATGAGGTGTAGGGGAAGAAAAAGACGAGTGGCGAGGGAGTAGTTTTTCGGAAGACTTAAACAGTCTGTTATATTGGGAATAAACGGGTTTAGGAGAAAATGCTATAGAACATTTTTTGGGGGATATTTAATTTTCTCGGGAAACGGTCCAATAGGTTTTCTTGTAAGATCAATCGTTTGCTTCAATTCAATTCCATTGTCATGATGGGAACGAGGATAAGTGCATTTTTTTAGATCGGTTTTTAGCAAATATCTTAGAATTGAAGAAAGATAGCGATATTTTGATTAATACCTTTTTTTTAGCTCTCATCTTTCTGAATGAAAATGTATGGGAAACTATATAATTATTTTCCTTCAATCCCGAGATATAACTAAAAATAGGCATCGAAAGAAAAATTGAATTATCTTAGTTATCGAGTAGGTAGTGGAAAAGTTTAGGAGAAAATATGACAAGAGTATTTTTAGAGGAAATTTGATCTCTGGAAATCTCTTGTCACATTTTTTTAGGTCCTACGGCTGTTTGGAAGCTAGAAGAGTATTTATTACTGGTAAATGGAATTTGCCACTTCCTCTTTGAGCGATTTGTAATTATTTGTAATTTTCATGAATTAATCGATTGTAAGTATTAACGTTCTTTTTCTATCGATTTTATCTCGTTTAGGGTATAATTATCCAGTGATTTATGGATTTAATTGAATTTATTTTGATTACCAAGATGTAAACATGAAAAAAATTTTCAAGTCGAAATATTTTGTTTAGATGATTTTACTTTCTACGATTTATCGAGTCTTGTCGGTTATTGAAAGTTTTCGAACCTGAGGTAGCAGAGATCTCTAGGAAAAATCCAGTGAATTTTTCTTCGCTTACAATTAGTGGATAACTAGTGAAATGGTAACGATGAAACCGTGAGTTAAATCATGAAAAGGTGACTTCCACACAATAACGTTATCCTTTTTATGCTGATAATAGAACAATCCCAAAAAAATCCTCACCCACTAGCCTCCAACAATATTCAGAGAATAAAATAAAAATGGAAAAATCAGATGTTTCTGGCAGAAGTCTTCAGTTGAGTCGAGGAATTTTCAATTAACTCGTCAAATAATTCGCAAAATCTTTCTCAGCATTACCATTTCCTACGAGCATCCAACGATCAGTGCCCTAAATGAAAAACTGGGAAATAAAAAATTGTAAAATCAATGTAAATCCGCACAATCCTCAAAAAAGGATGAATTCACAGTAGAAAAGATGCAGCATTTGCCAAGAAAAATAAATATATTTAGGTTGAAAAATACTTGACGGCTACAATAATTCAATGAGATTCTTCGTTTCCTTGGTAACAATGTTGGAGATAGTGGGTGCTGTGCTGGTGAATGCACGAATGTGAGATCTGAAGTTTGAGGTGTGGCTCCATGCCTCGTCCCTGACAGCTCCATGATTTCTAGGGCACATGAGGAGAGGATCGGTGCCGGTTTTGTTGGACAATCTCTCCTGGAGTGTAATCAACCGAGATCTCCAGTACTCGTAGCTGGCCTGACGCAGAGCTGTCACCCATTGGTTGACCTGGTCCTCAGTTCTGGCTGTGAAGATGTGCCTTTTCTCGTGCTCATCACGGAATACTATACTGAAGGCGAACAAACCCTCGGATATAACATCCGCATTTATCTTGCAGTTCTCTAAGATTATTATTCCTGCTGGCTGTCTCTCGTCTACCTGCCCCAGATCAGTTATGTTGAAATAGAATAGAAGATTGCCGCGCAGCTTGAAGAAACGCTCTTTGAAGACTGGAGAAGAATACACAATTGTTAGATTAATCATTAATAATAATTAATTATTAACTATTAATCGCCCTTTCTTTAGGGCATAAGGATATTCAACACCGTTTTAGACAAATGTCATGTTTTTTTCAAGTTTTAAAAATTTTTCTGACAAATTATTGATCGGATTAAAATGAAAAAATAGAACATTCTTGCGTCTTGTCATTATTTAATGACTCACGAAGTTTCTTGTGGTGCCCGAATTTTCATACGCTTCTTCTCCAATTTTGTAATGATTTCGCAAAGTTTAGAAAACACATAATACTTAGGAAATTGTTCGCACCACGTTGAAATCGGTAGGTCATTAAATAATGACAAAACGCAAAAACGTTATACCTTCCACATGAATCCCATTGTAATTTTTCCATCAACAAAATGAAACCAATGTGAATTTTGAGGGAGAGAGTGCTGATAGTGAAACAATGCTCCACATTGAAAAATGTTCAAAAAACCGTCGTTCGAATTCTATTAGAATTTTTTAATTTTCAAAGACTTTTTGATCGGGGCATATTATAATCAATCTGACTCAACGTCTGGCTTGTTACCGAATATTAAAAAAATAATAATATCATTGTGATAATTGGGGCTTTTACCTGACTTATGAGCCCTTTTATGCTGCAATCGGCCCTCCATCTGGCACAGTCCACGACTCGCGTCCATCAATTCCTTTTCATTACACTTCATTTTCCGAAATTTTCAATTGCTCCAACAGTAACCAACTCCCATCAATGAGCCACTGTCCTCAACAATCCCCTGATAAATATAACCTCTTCAACATCAAATCCTCTTGTCCCCTCTAACCCCAATTCCTTAAAAATTTCCACAAAACTCCAATTTGCTAAAAATCACCTCTCCCTTCCACTCGCTCCATAATCAATTAAAAATTAGTGGTCGAATTGCTTTAATACAAACAATCAGTTCTTGAGAATTCCTGGAATTCTCTGACTAATTAATGACGCGATACCCCCTCTACTCTCTGGGCATCAGCTGTTTGGTCGATTTTGTCCACATCTAAATCGTCCCAGATACCTAAATGACAAGTGAAAACATCGATAAATTTAGAGAGATTTTAAACAAATGGAGAATATCTTTCAAAATACTAATGTCTGGGTGGCAGAAGTGGGTGAAGCCCTCCACAGGTATTCCTCAGCAACAGTGAATTTTGTGATTGAAACGATTGGAGTGACAACTGACTTGTCCAGTGTTATAAAACCGAGTGATGAGTTGCTCCTGGATGTGAATGATTTTCTGAGACAATTCCCTGAGCTTTTGGTGTTTGATTACTTCCAGTGGCAGTTGCTCAAGATATTCATTTCAATTCTTGTCACACTCGTCTTTATGATATTTTGCGCGTGGTGGGTTTATGGGGCAAGGATTACAGAGAGTTTCATGGATCCAGGTAATTGTTTTCAGGAACAATAAAGCGGGATCGACTGCAAAACTGTAGTGGGGGTTGAGTGGAAAAATCTGAATTTTACATTCTATGTCAGAGAACTTTTGGGAATTTAATCAGTCAGTCATTGCATAATAATCATTTCTCATTTCCTGGATGAACGGGAATTTATATTAGAAAATAATACAAAATCCTCTTATTATGATAAATACGAAAAATGGATTTTATCAGAATCATATCTAATAATTATCAAATGTCAGAAAAACTTTTGAGATTTTTTGAAAAACTGATAAGATCTGCTGCAAAAAAAGTTCTACCATATTTTGTCTTGAAATTATTAATTCCTGAGACAAATATGAAAGAATGATTTTTTACTGTGACAATCCCAAAATTGACAGAATTAGAAAAATTACATGTCATTATTCATACCACAGTACAGAATTAAGACTCAAAATTGAAGAGATTATCTTTCCGACTCAGCCCCTAACATATTCCTCGAAATATCATTTTTTTAAAGTCATTCACTAGCTTGGGGAAAAAAATAGTGGAAATGTCGAAATTTCAAAGTTTTCAAATGGGAAAATTTTGAAATTTACAGGCACGATTTGAACTTGAGATTAAGAGCTCTCGATGAAAAATTATTAGACAGATTTTTATAATTTCTTGGGCCCCCTCCGGGCTGTGAACGCTTTAAAATTTCTGTGGGCTTTAATAATTTCACCCACCCCAAACCTGATGTCTAATAGCATTTTCTTTTTTTCAGGTCACAAGATCGATGATCGAAACAACTTCAAGTACTACTCCCCACATTTATAAACTCCTGCGCAAAAATGTAAATAAAATAATGAAATAATAATGCGAGAGATCAGATTGAAAATAACATAAGTTATATTTTCTCATGAAATATGCAAACACTGTTCTTTTTTCATAGAAAAAGCTTCTCTCTTAAATCTAAGACAATGATATTCTCAATACTTACAAAATTACACCTACAATTATTCAAAATATAAAAGCAGGAGGTTGTTCATTTGAGAGAATTTCAGAGTTCTGAATAGGAGACGACGCTTCACCCTGTCTAATTCCAAAAACGAATGCAATGTTTTAAAAAAACGGTCCGCGTTTTTCATTTCAGTCTTGTAATTCAGCGAATCTTTAGCACCCACTTTCATCAAGACTTTTAATCATGCACGTCTCACTAATGACAACCTGGAAATTGAATTGACATTCAACATTAAAGATAATTAAATCATTTTCAAAATGAAAGAAATTCCCTGAAAATGGCATTATGCATTAAAGCGAAGCATCGAAAAAGAATCATCTCCCACTGTTGACGACAATTTTTTTGCAGATCACTGCAAACCCTACTTGGACGAGACTTAACGAGGGATTACCCCATGGCTCTTCAGTCCTTTAGTGACTGTAGCGAGGAGTTCTGAGCTAAGATCCATCGGTGTCATCGTCTCTTTTCCTCCCTCCAAGTCCTTCCCCACCATGTAGACCTGGACAATAGTCTTGCCAGGCTCATCAGGTGATTCCTTTGATACAATGACAAGAGACCCAGGTTCGATGTCCTGGAGGCCCTTTACAGGTTCACCCACGACTTCTTCTTGGCTCTGCTCCTTGCCATCGGCCCCTTCTTCCTTATCTTCCTCCACCTCCTCATCGTTCTCAGTATTTTTATCGAAAATCCTATCCAAAATGGAAGTGGGATTAAAGCCGACCCTCTTTTTCTTGGGCAATCGTCCAGACCTCGTGGGTTTAACTTTGTAAACCTCAGAATCATCTTCAGTGATAGAATCCTTCGAATTATCAGGCAGATTTTTGCCCCTGGGTCTTTTTTGTTTCACCTTGGATGCAATCTCGACGTCCTTCTGCTCAGAATTTCCCTCCATCTCTTCAGGATCATCCTCTTCCTCACTCAGCATATTGAGACTGGTGGCAGCCAGTCTCCTCTTGGCACACCTCTTTCTGTAGCTCTCGTTGGACTTCCTTGTCTTCTTGCTCGTCTCCTCGATATTCTCAAAGCTCTCGAGGTCCTTCTTTAAGGTTTCGATGTCGTACTCCTGGTGGTAAACCAGGGCCTTCTCCACTCTCGTCCTGTTGAGCTTCTCCTCTTTCTTGAATTTCATCTTCAACTCGTGACGATTCCTATTAGGAAAAACAGTCTGCATCAAGGAGAAGTCAGTGCCAACAGTGTTCAGGGCTTTGTAGAATTTCAGGGTCTCCAGGGGTGTCCAGTCTTTGCTCTTTGTTCTTTTCTTGTAGAAACCACCGATTGCACCCTCCTCGTCCACCAGGACTCGACGACGAGACACTGCATCCTGATCACGCTTTAACGCCATATTCTCAATTACCAGGGATTGCTCATCAACCACTAGTTCTCCATTTACTCCAACCTTCAACTGGGGAACTGGCATTTCAGATTCATCCTCCTCTTCCTCAGGTTCTACCACCTCCTCTGGCTCCACTCGGACAAGAGTGGCTGTTTTTTTCATGGGGTTGGTCGTGGGGTTGTAGTAGATCAAGTCATACATCGTCAGCTTGGTCCTGTCTGGTGGATTGTTCTCGTGTTTGAGGAGGAATTCTCGACGAGCCTCGGCGAGTTTCCTGGCCGACTCTGAGACGAGCATCTTCCTCTTCTGTTTGGAGCTCTGAGTCAGGCTTTGATTCGTGTTGCCAGATGAAGACTGGGCTGAGGTCTGAGGGGCTTGTGAAGGGTGTGACATGGGCGGAGGGTGAGAGGGAAGAGGGTGACGACGAGAGTCGTCTTCGGATTCGCTGGCACTGGCCCCTGACCCCTGGACACTATTACGACGGATACGAGTTGAACCGTCCAGACGAGGAGTGGGGCGAGTGAACGAACGGTTTGTCAGGGTCTTCGCCGGGGATGCTGCAAGACAATGACAGGGTCATTAATATTTTTTTTTAACCATTGAGACATTATAAATTAAATTATGAAATGAAATTAAAATATGAAATTAAAATGAATCACATTTTTGGGGTAAAAATTGCCGAAGAAATAGTTGAAAATTTGAGAACGTTATTGGAAAGCCTCTGGAACTTTCCAGTGTCAATTCTTTCGTAATTTTTTAAGTTTCTCCATCGTCTCCAGCTGCTAGTAATTGTAATTCTTTTTTTTAAGAATGTCATTCTACTTTATGATGAAAATGTTTTTCAATAACTTGAATATAGAATAAAATTATATAAAAATTTTGAAACGACCCGTGCATTGAAATTGTCTTTTAAAAATTCTTTAAAGGATAGGTCATTTTTGGGCGTCTAAAGCACACGAAAACCTCCCTCAAAAAGAGAAGTAAGAAAGCCAAGCAATTTCACCATTTTCGGGTCCAGAAAGATGTCCTTTGGAGTCCGAAGACTCCGAGAAGAGTCTCGGCCTCTTGGAGAGGGCCTCCGCGAGGGGTGAGGTTTTTTGTTCAAGTTCAAGAGTTGCCTTCTCAGCCACATCCTTATTTCTCTCCGGTGTCTTTTCACAAAGGGAATCTTCTCCAAGAACCTCTTCAACAGCATTTTGCTTCGTCGAAGCCTCTGGAAGCTGTTCGGGCACCTCTAGAGGCGTTTCCTCTTTCGAAGAATCAGAATCCTTCGTTAAAGAACCAGGATCTTCAACTGTTATGACTTTTCGCCTCAGAGGGACCGAGGCCGTCACTTTGATCCTCGCTCGTCTCATTATTCTCTCGATTCGATTCAATTAATTCTCATCTATCATCAGCATGTGGAGATATAACGTTGAGGTTATGTTCACCAAACAGTTACTTTCGTTCTGTAATTGCAGCATAGGTAATCATCGTGTAAGGGTGAGGCGATAGAATGCAACAATTCAATTAGTTTGAGTGAACTTACTGTCAGTATTTATTTGTATTTACTGTCGAGAAGCTAGACCTATGCCGAGACGATAGAAACAGCTGCTCGAGACGCATTAGACTGATGACACCATAAGTTTTTACTTCTCTGGGTGCCCCCACTCCACGTAGTTACCACTTGTAACCATGTCCCCCACTCCTAAAATCAATGTTAAACCTTATGCTGACTTCAGTATATGACAAGAAATTGAGAGTGTCGATAACGGCGTTTGTGAGGTGGAGATAGAGTGGGGGGAATTGAGGAGAATTGTGGAGATCGGGGTATTTAATTTCGACTGCTGATCTCCGCTACAATCTTTCTCTGAACCAACTGAACTAAATATAAAAAAAGTAGTCTCTGTACCAGGCAAAGAGGATTGACTAAAGTAGAGGCTCAGTTCTGGGGGTTTGAGTGACCCCAGCGGCATCGTAGTACTGCACCCCAAGAGAGGGAGGGCGCCATCAAATCAAGGGGCTGACTTTTATTTTCTGCGGTATGACTGCTTTTTGTTTTTTATTTGTTTAACGGAAGTTTAGCCATATTTTCTGGAAATTCAAATGGAAAAAATTATTTAATATATTGAAGATATACTACTAATGAAAATATAGTTTTTTGATGAGCGCGTTGTCTAATGGGTAACGTGCTTGACTGGCCCGCGGACGGCCTAAGTTCGATCCCAGCACTTTCATTTTTTTTTTAACAAAATAATTCCAATTTTTTTTGTGTAAATGGCTAATCAATCGAAATATTGTTTAAAAACTGAATAGCTCCTTAATTTCCATGTTCCCCTGATACTTTTTCGAAAATTTCGAATTTTCAAATTTCAGTGAATACCTCCTCGATTGGCATGTTCCCTTGATACTTTTTCAAAAATTTCGAATTTTCCTATTTCAGTGAATACCTCCTCGATGATCATGTTACCCTGATACTTTTTCAAAAATTTCGAATTTTTCACTTCCAGTGAATATCTTCTTGATTTTCATGTTCGCCTGATACTTTTTCAAAAATTTCGAATTTTTCTATTTCAGTGAATACCTCCTCGACGTTTATGTTCCCCTGATACTTTTTCAAAAATTTCAAATTTTTCAATTTCTATACTTATATTTTTTTAGTCGATACTTTACTACTCGATCTTTTTTCCATTTGCCAACATACCAGAGGTCCATATTACCGGCTGTTGGTATTTCAGGGACCTGCATGGCCGACCAGCAGTATTTCGCTGGAGCGTGAAAATTCAAAATTTTTAAATTTTAAATTTTTCGAAATTCCTGAAAAAGTATCAGGGGAACATGAACGGCGAGAAGGTATTCACTGAAATTGAAAAAGTCTAAATTTGTGAAAACGTATCAGGGAAACATGAAAATCGAGGAGGTATTCAATTTTTAAACGATATTTCGATTGAGTAGCCATTGACAAAAAAAATAGGAATTAAAAAAATTTCTTTTCTCTCGTATACCCTTTCGGGTTTTTACGGTTAGTTGGTTCCCTTCCCACCCCCCCAACCCCCTGTACCGCATTTGCTTGAAGGGAGGGAAAAACCTCATCTGAGGGAAAAAACCTGCCCAGGTACAGTCGTCCTTTTGACAGGACTACCGCTCGGCAGTGGAACCGTGAGATCAGAGCGCTATAAATTTTTGACCGCCGGTGCCCGGGATCGAACCCGGATCTCTGGCATGCTAGTCTAGCACTCTAACCGCACGGCCACTACCGTCGGTAAAAAATAGGAATTATTTTAATAAAAAAAAATTATTGAAGGCTGGGATCGAACCCCAGCCGTCGGCGTGCTAGCCAAGCACGTTGCCCATTAGACAACGCGCTCATTACGAGATAATAATTTCATTAGTAGTATATCTTCAATATATTAAATAATTTTTTCCATTTGAAATTCCACAAGATGTGGCTTCCCCCTTCCGCTCGTTCTACAGTCGGCTAAATTTCAGTTAAAAAAATAAAAAACAAAAAGCATTGATACCGCAGAAAATAAAATTCACCCCCTCGACTTGATAGACACCCCCGCATTGCGTGTTGCGTCCTCCCTCTCTTGGGGTGCACTACTACGATGCCGCTGGGATCACTCAAACCCTATTATTTATAAATAAAATTTACAATATTTATAATATTTATAAATAAAATAGAAAGTCGACCTTTGCAGGCAGATTGATGAAGGGATTACTCAGTTTTTTAGATTTCTCAATCGGTGATTGTTCTCGTCCTAGACCTTTTCTATAATATTTACCATTAAAAAAATGTCCAATCGAATTGAACACGAGATAATTCTTATCAGAAAACTCAACGAAAGATTCGAAACAATCGGCCATCAGAAATGTCCCACCAGTTCGCTACAAATGTCGTATCGTGGACTAGTAACCATAAATTTCCATAAATTTCATGAACCTTAAGAACCCAAAAATTAATATTTTTGTATGCATCACTGGGTGTTAGCCATGACATTTATATCCCTATGTGCAACAGTATCGATTGACAAACCCGAAACAACAGCCAGCTCTTCACAAACTGGTAAATCTCTCGATTTTACCTCAACAAAAAACATTCACAAACTTTTCCCAAATATTTTGGATTTCTATTTCAATTCCATGCATAAACTTTCTACGTATTAAATTTGTTTTTTCCCAAATATATTAACTTCCTAGTAAATCCACATAAATACTCCCCCAAGGACACGCTGATGCCAAATATATTTTATTGTTGTCAGTAAATATACTGGAGAAAATACTTTTTCATCTCATTGTACTCAGAGATAAATATTTACTAAAAATCGAATGGAATTGACCCAAAATCGCTTTTAATTTCTGTAAACAATTTTTTAATTGGGTTTCTTGACTCAGTTATAATTATTCTACATCCCAGCAATAAATTGTTTATTTTCTTCCTCCAACAATTATCTGGATTTAAACCCTCAGTCAATAATCAATAGATTGATTAAAATCGCAAGTCACGTTGACTTCACTTCACTCTTCAATCAATTTTTTACAAATTATTATGTCGACACAGCTGTTTGCAATTGAATATAAAAAACCCACTCTACCCCTTTTATTTTATTGCGAAAAAGTATGAAGCAATTGATTAGCCTGAAGTAATTGCTACTGGAGAGTGAAGTGGTGACACAATGTAAGTTTATCGGAAATATCTCCCTAACGAGAAGAGACAGCGAAATTTTCGTAAAGATCTCTTTTGTCGAGCTAATTGAGATCTACAAAAAAGTATTCTACAAAAATATCGGTGCATCCCCGGGTTTCAGAGATATTTCCGAAAAATCCAGCTTGTTTCACCACTTCACTGCATAATCGATTTGCGATTGCGATTTGGTAAACTCGTTTTCGCCAAATCGACCACCGCTTTGCCACTGAAATAGGAAAGGGTTTTGAGAAAATTCTTGGATGATAATGTGAGTAATTTGATCTTGTTACATAAAGGGGCCATTAAAGTAACATAATTACCTTTTACTGGGAATTTCGATTAATTGATGCTTTAACGAGGTATGGGAGTTTATTTTTGTGTTCATTAAGAGTTTTGGGACTTCAGGCCGCCGAGTGGGTCGTCAAGGCCCGAAGATGTGGGACCAGTGGAGTGATTGGTCAGGTTGCAGTGTGACCTGTGGTGTAGGAAAACTGTCTCGATGGCGACATTGCATTGCTGGCGGTTGCTCCCAGGGAGAAAAAGAACAGCAGCTCAAAACCTGTACTTTCCCAGCTTGTCTGTATGAAGGTGTCGGTATTTATAATATGTAACCTACTCGGTAATTCAAGTTATTTCGAAATTCGACGAGTGGAAACATTCTGGAGAAAATCATTCCATCAGGCTATTTTACCCCTTCTATCAAAAATATCAATTTTCTATCGGCTCTTTCCATTCAACTATTGGAATTAGAATCTGGAATTAGAATCTCAAAAATATTTATTACAACATATCCCGATCAATATTTGCAATTTGTAAAGTGTGTATTAATGGAAAATTAACGGGGGAAATAGGGAGAAATTATTATTTGACTGGAGAATTTTTAAGACTCTCAATTTGAAACAATTTTTATTTTTCTATCGAAATTGTTACTTATTCAGTTTCACTAATAGTATTTTTGATTAAAAATACTTGGTAGGGACAAATAAGGAAGGCTTGATCGATTGATTAGTATTGAATCGATTTGTGTCCGGTTTTAAACATTTTTCGCTTTAGGAATTTTGCGGTGTAAGTGTTCGATGTCTTGGGTTGACTAAGCCCAAGGAAAAAATTTGAATTTTCGACAAAAACATACAGCTGAAAGGAAAGGGAAGTCCCTGAAAAAATACTAAACATTCGAAAAGAGTTATTCTCAAAAATTTAGCGATAAAATTCATGAATTATTCATGATCTACCATTTACATCGATCTGCCAGTCCCCAGAATAATGCAGAATATTGAGTAACCATTTTAATGACTCTTTAATGATGCCATTGTCCTTAAAACACAGTTTTTCATATTTATGAACAGTAAAATAAACATGGATTAGGATGGACTGAAAATATATAGCGATTGTTAACGTCTCCTGATTTCAATAGTACAGCATCGAAACTTCAATTAGAGTGGAATATCCCACGATAGCTCCAGAATTCAAATATTTTCAAAATATGAATTTTGGCCAAACTTTTCTCTATATCGTTGCAATTATTACATTAACATATTATTATTATTATCAGAAACCATCTCTGAAGTATTTCACAACACTTTTTTTTTCAGTTATCACGATAAAACTGATTTTTGAAAAAACCAAAAATTAATAAATTAATTGAATTCTACTTGACTGTAAATTATTATTTTCGGTTTGGATTAGAATTAGAAAAATATTCTTCAACTTCGCAATAGTCACAAAAACTTAATATAATAGAATTGAATATAATTAATATGTAAATTAACGCAAATCTATGAAACAATTTAATTAATCAAATAGCTAGTTTGTTCCAAAATATTTTTGATCGTTGTAAGTCCAATTTAAGATAAAAAAATAACTATTTTTACTCCCATATGTTGTTTTATATTTTATCAACTGAATTACGGATTAGTTTTTTTTCTGTTTGTAGATGGCCAGCCGAAGATCTGGGATCAGTGGGGCAAGTGGTCGTGCTGCAGTGCATCATGTGGACCTGGAAAGGTGTCACGATGGCGGCATTGTGTAGCCGGAGGCTGTGCACCGGGGGAAAAGGAGGCGCAAATTAAACAATGCTATCTCTCAGAGTGTGACTATCCCCAGTGAATATGACGCGCTGTCTATTGACTCGTGTTGAATGCGTCCTCGGTCTTGTAGATGGTGGGAAGAACGAAGGGCTCTTGCCTTGACGGCTCCTGAGTCGTCGACGACGAGGCGGCGGTTGTTTCTTGATTTTTCGATTTCTGTGTGAAGTTTTGTTCATTATTTATTCGAAACATCGAGGTTGTTTCAAGAGTTACTCATTTTTCATTTGAATTTTTTTATTTTCGCGGATATGCAGCGACTAGAAAAAAATCTGTCAGAGAAATATTTGCATTCGAGGGAAATTTGCAGTTTTTACGACACGATTCCAATTTTTATATTGGAATTCATTGACATAGATCTTTTATATTTAGCTCTTTTTAGATGAATAAAAATTATGGAAAATGAACAAGTAGAAAAACTCATTCAAGAAGTTATACATAAATGTTATAATAGAAATATTATGAAATTTTCATGTCGAATTTTATAAAAAAGCCGATAAATTTAGAGATCTAAATAAAAATATTTCTTTACAACAATTTTTCACTGATAGTAGTTCAATCGTATATGAATTACGTACAAAGAGTGAAAGTGGATTGAAGATACCAAAAAGACGATCGGAAACTGTCGTGCTGGCCCCTAATTCGGCTTCAGCAGCTTCCACAGCTGCCTCTAAGCTCACCAGGTCAATGCTTGCTCTGGCAACGACATGTTCGAGTGCATCGATTCGTTTGCACAACTCCATCAGAGCTGGATGAACCGAACGGAAGCGCACCAGGTGCTCAAACGTGCATTCCGCTCGTAAATTTTGCACCTTCGACATCAATTATTGTCTCATAGATGAATATAATAGCATTCAAAGGGTAGGGGCTCGACTGATCGATTCTCGCCAGCAAAGCATCAATAAAACATTCTCATTATCACTCGACAATGAGTTTTCCAGTGAAATCGATTCTATAATTGCCACTGTGATACGAAATTTCACAGAACAATAAAAAAAACGGTTAAGTCATCACCATTTGGACATTAAATCCAAAAAATTAACAAATTTTTCCCGGAAAATTTAAAAAATGATAAAAAATTACGTGAAATGATTGTATGTGCGGTAAAAAGTTGGAAACGTTTACTTTATTAATGGAAAGATGTTCTTTTTAAAATGAAAAAAACGGAAAAATATTATTGGGGCGTAGAAATTCGATAAGAATTGACGAAACTTTGTACAACCATTCCGACTGGTTAGAGAATGTGTTTTAAATACAAAGTGACAAAGACTGGGGCATTGAGAAAAGTCTTAAATTCTCATTCTTTTTTATTGAATTAAAAAAATTATCACGGTCTTCAGCCTTTCTTTGTTTTAAAAATGTGTCTTGTTACTATTCAATGAATTTCGTGTTGCTATCTATTAAAAACCAACGAGGGTAGCAGAAATTGGCAGTGTCATTAATTAGGATTTTTACGGTACCTCACACTCAGAAAAGACAGACTACGTTAAGAAATTTTATACTTGTTCGAAACATGCGACGATACCTTTTTTCTATCAAAGAAATGAACTCCCAAGGCAATTAAAATGGCTCTTGTATTCAAATATTCCAGAATTGAGGCTAAAAAATTAATAAATCAATCGTTTGAATTTTGCTTAGTGCAAGCAATCGCTTTTATGTCATGAAAAAATTATCCTCATGTTTATGTATCTATCAAGGAAACAAATTCTTAAGGCAATTGAAATGGTTAATTTATTCAAATAATTTAGTATTGAGTTTAGAGCTAGGATATTGGCATCAACTGGGAACTAGAAACCCTATAGAAACCCCGTAGAGTTCTAATCGAATTATTTATATGTTGCCTAGGACTTTTACTGACCATTCCAACGATTGACTCGAATTCCTCAAGGCGAATCAGCATTTCATCCACAGCTTCATGCACTCCTCTCGTCTGCAGGTACATAAGAGGTTATGATTGCATTCCAAACGAAAACATTACAATTCTCCCACCGCATGACTCACACCCAACAATGCAATGTTGTGCAATTTTTATGTTTATACTGAATTGAAATTTGAAATAAATCTCACCTGACTTGGGAGATTCACCTGAAGATACGCCGCATAATCTTTCGCGGTTTCTTCAATCATCTTGTCGTTTACATTCATCTGCATTTTATTATTTGACATTTTTATTACAACAATTAAATTAATTCAATGGAATTAATGTCATTAGTCCACTCTTTAACCTTGTTGTTGTACAGATTTTATCATCATCTGGGATACATTCGGACAATTTTTACGTTAGGAAGAATTGGTGAATAATTATTGATTGGTTTTGATATATTTTTAATATATTTGATATATTATATAGTGAAATGAAGTAGAAAAATATTTGTAAGATTGAGAAATACAAAGATCACATTTGTCAAGTCTCACTATTTATTTTCATTAGATTTTGCACTTCAAGTGGCTCAATGGCGATGGAGGGGGCATTGTGTGCGCACGGTGCGCACGCACATTCCGGATTTGAAATTCCCTCCACTTGTGTGTTTTTGTTATGATTCAAACAGAAAAAATGATGGAAATTGAAAAATTAAAAAATCGGGAGAATCAAAAAAATTTTACGGTATCCATTTCGCCGTGAGTGCCCGTTTTCCACCCATAGAACCGGTAAAAAAAATTTAATTTCAAGACTTGTCCTCATGTTTCCTGCAATTCACTAGACACTCGTCCAAACGATTGTTTTCACAAACTAATTAATTCTAAATTATACAAAAATGCATCGATTTGACAAAATTTTTTAATCGCCTCATCGATTGAAGAGTAATTGCCGCGGTCAAAGTTTTGTTTACATACGCTTACACATACACATACAGAACGCATTAATGTACACCGTTGAAAAAATATGTAAAAAAAAACTACGCATTTACTATGTCGATTTATAATAAAAGTATGTAAGCTATTCACCAATAAACTTAAATGATTACAGGATATTTTTAAATACACAAAATTCCACATTTCGGGAATATTTCGGGAATTATTACATTGAATATAAAAATTACTCCACAGGCTAGTTATACTACTATTATAATACTTGAATTAACTTAACGACACACAAGTGGGATAGAATTATCGTAGTTGTTTGAAATTAAAGTGCGAGTAAAAGCAACTTTCTTCTCTGTCTAGTAATTTTACTATACCCCTCCATCAGAATATTGTTTTTACTGCAAACGCCTATAATATTATGTGCTAATTTTACCCTACCGTAATTGCATAAAACTTTCATTACATCTGTACTAATTCCATTCTAGATATTTTTTCAAGGCACAACCCCCTTCTTACACTGGGAAAAAAAATTCTTTAGCCAATAATATGTACTAACCCCAACAAAATTAGTGTTAAGAGAATATTCTTGTTAAAAAAAATTTATTTCTCCGTGTACTTCTTAAAAATGATCCAAAAAGTTGAGAAATATAAAAAAATCGTACACGGAGAGAAATGTGTAGTAAAAATTACGGAAGTTTTAGTTCACTTACCGATTACGGAGTCGATTCGAAAAATTTAAGTGACGGTATCGTAATTTTTTATGGATAATTCAGATAAAAATTACGGAACACCGCAAAAAAATTCCGTGACAGTTCCGTAAAATTTCTGACAACCACATTTCACTCCAGAATTACGGAAAATACACGTAATTTTTATTGAATATTTCTCTCTATATAGGAATTCCAAATTCGCTAAAACACAATCGATTTTAATGATCGTTACAATAGTTGTCCTATAAATCAGTAATTCAATGAATATTATGTAGAAAAAAAAGTAATAGCCCACGTGTGTAATATGGTAATAATGAAGGAATTTTTTGTATTGGTCAAACGGTGGAGGAGAGGGGAGAGGTTAAACGTGCGCAGGCGCGAGATTTAAATGGTAAACATGACCTTCACCGGATAAGAACACAGGACTCAGCATTCAACACAGAAATATTTTTTTGCGATGAAGGAGGGGCTTGATCTTTGGCATTGCACTTGTATTTGCAGATTGCTCGAATGGATTCTCGGTAATTCGTGATTTTTAACCTGTGAGACGGCGGGATTAATTCATCGGTTCATGATGATGAAAATGAGGCAATTAGTAGTTAGGCGTAATGAGAATTTTATGATCAAGTCGTGGATAAGTGACTGGACATTGGAGCTGTCATTGTTGAATTACTGTTTATTCGCGATTGTTGAAGAGTTGCCAGTGCAATTACGTAATAGTTTTCGGAACTAGTGCCCTGTGAAAAGGTGAGTTGCGAGTAATAATTTATTTTATGGTCTGACACGTGTGTTTTGCAAACAATTAATAGTAGGGAGTGAATGTTTCGAAAAAAATTATCGTACAAAAAAAAAAGTGAAAACTCGTAGAAAATTAGAATTACGAGAAAAACTCACGTGTCAGCACCAGAGTTTTCCTCTTCCGTACGGAAAAATTATATATGCTAATAATTACATCCGACAATTAGGTGACATGTTGGATTTTTTGCCGGCATATATGTGCGTATTATTAATATATACTTGGCTGATATATAACGTTTTTCCGTGTGGGTCATTTTGGGCCCCTTTTCTCAGCGTTTTCTAGTTGGTAATTGTAAAATTTTCCTCAGTAATTTTTTGCTTTTTGAATATCAGGTTTTCTAGACAAATTTCTAATACCGATCAATTGGGCGGAGTACAGAGTTTTCACTTGTTTGCACTACTCTCTTCTGATAGGTACCAAAAGAGTTGTGAGAATGTAGGACACAAAAAAGTGAGAGGATGTTTGTGAAAGAAATGTGTAAATTCCATCACGATTTAATAAATTTCGTAACTCGATATGATACTATTCCCATTCACATCAATTTCAAGGGGAATTCTTTGCCGATATATAAACATTCAATCTTCACTCTCGAATCTTAATTATCGAATTATCATAATGAGGTTGAGAAACTACGTTTCTTCTCATTTGTGGCTATTTCGGGGGATTTTATTTTGATAAATAACACAAGATCCATCTACCATTATTCCCTTCTAAATTTAGAATTATTTGCGGGGCAGATGCCTCAGGAGGTCATCAAAACATTGAAAATTATTATATTTCTCCAACTGGAGAAAACTAAAGAAAATCGCACTAATCTTCATAAAAAAAATATTTTTCACTTTGAGAAAGAAATGAAAAAATATTCTATTAAGTAAAATTAAACAAATTCAATGAAATCAATCAATAATTAATAGTTGTTAATTATTATTAACGGGATTCAAAATTGAATGAGCTAAAAAAACACCTTCAAATTTTTCACCATGAAGCGATAGTTTTGCAATTAAGCGAATAATTAAAAGTTTTGTTAACCAGAATTAACAGAAATTTTAATTATTGAGTTATCACGTGTTACTTGGTATTCTGAAATTTTGAGAGAATAAAAAATCGCAGCGTTTTGCGAGAGCTAATCTGTATAATTTTCCTTTGGGAAGGAAAACAGAAATTCCGCAGTGAGCATAAAGTAAAGTCACGAACGGACGTGTCTCTATTAAATAGAGTCTATTTGTCCGAAAAACATCACTCGGTTTTTCCCGATGAAGAACTTCCTTTGGAATTCTTCGTCTCCGTAAATACCCGGCAAATGGCAAACGTAAATACTGCGTTTGAGAAAAAAAAATGCCGTGTGATCGGTGATCAACATTGACATCTACAGAAAGACAGAAACCCAAATGAATCAGTCTGTCATAAATCAGAAGTGCAATTGAAAATTTTCATACCAAACAAGTCAGCTTCTAACCCCAATCCTTCTGGAAATTTATGGCAATTTTTTCTACCATCGGTGGGTTGTAAAAACTCTCACGTGTCATACCATGAGATCTCCAAGATGATTAATCCGATATTCCCTGATAGGTTCCCTGCAAACAAATGAAAGAGAATATTTCCATTATTAATTATACTTCGTATATTTTAATAGTATACGAGACCTACTGCGCACTACGTGCGCCGAATTTGAATTTGGCGGTTCGAGTTGACCAATGAGGAATTAGTCTTATGCGGTTCGAGATATTTCGACTCGGGCGAACTTCATTTTTGTGTTTCTACTTTTATAATAAGGACTTCGTTTATTTTAATAGTATACGAGACCTACTGCGCACTCCGTGCGCCGAATTTGAATTTAGCGGTTGGAGTTGACCAATGAGGAATTAGTCTTACGCGGTTCGAGATATTTCGACTCGGGCGAACTTCATTTTTGTGTTTCTACTTTTATAATAAGGATCATAATAAGGATAATAAGGAAATGATTACGCAACAATTGCTCCTGTGGCTCGTTTTTTAACCCTCACACTCGTCACAAAATCTATTCTGCACACGGAAAAAAATACTTGAATCAAACATACAACTATAAATATACTAGGATCAAATATAAATTGTACTCAAAATAAGTATAAGAATGAACTTATTTTAAGTACATTTTTAATATACTTGTTATTTCAAGGATAACGTTAATTCAGAATTGGGGCGGTTTTGAATTACAATACAATTATCAGTTTATCAGTGTTTTATACCAGAGATGCGAAAGGAAAAAAACAATGTGAGTTTTCAAAAGACAGTCGTTATTAAGGCGGTTTTTTGATCTTTTACGACTTGCCTCAGAGCGGATAGGTTCCAAGTTCGATTTCTGGTCGAGCAGAATTGTGAGATCTAATCCTTTTTAAAATCCTGATCAATCACATAGTCATCATGACTCGAAGCGATGTAAAATAAATAAAAAAAAAGTCTTTCGATTGATAATTGAATAACTTTTTGAAGATTAAGACATAATACTATTATAAAAAAAAATCGTTGTGGCCTGGACATGACTAGTTGTATCATCATCTCAATTTATGAGTGTTTGCCACAATTGATATTGTTATAATATCGTTTATTGTTTCGAGTGGATAAGTCTCTGAAAAGATTTGTGGATCATATTGATGTGTTTATCTCTTATCATAATCAAATTCACGATTAACGGAATAATTGGGCTGATTGGTCCCAAGGAGCCGGGAAAATGCCGCGGGTTGAATCGCGCAAAGGTTTGATGACTGAAGGTGGGTCAGTAACAGTAGTGTCGGTTCGTAAACATACGAGGTGAACGGGTGAAAGAAGAAAAAGTATCCCAGCACCTTCCATCTCTCTTCTGTACTCGGATGGGTTTTTAAACTCTGGTCTCCATGTAATTCATAAAAGTGGGGAGCGGGGATTGTGCTAGGTTCTTAACTTCCACCCAAACAGTGGTCACTCTTGATGAAAATACACTAGTGAGTGCACGTCCACCTCGAGGAACGTATTCGGTAATGGTAAGTGTCAATTGAGTTTCGCTTTTTCTCTGGGTCTTGAGAATAATTAACGCGCACGAGCCGAGTGCAGTCCATTTATGATGACATTATCGGGATGATGAAGGTTGTACTTGTCAGTTGGATGGGATGATCGGAAAATGGCGAGATTGAATTTTTCTTATCTCCTTTTTTTTTTTTTTTCATATTTTCCTTTCTCTATTGCCGCAACCTCATGCCGGTTGAGTCTCCGAGAATTTTGTTGCACTATTCATTTTTTATTGGGCAATCAGAGGCTGTGGATTTATCTGCGCACTGAGAGGAATTTGAGAAAAAAAAGTTTGTGATAATATGAGACAAGGGGCGGAATTTTCTCGAGGCGATAGATTGGGTGATTGCCGGGTACTTTATGCTGTGGTTGAAAATTTTTATTTATATTTCGGGTGAAATTTTTGAAATGTTTAGCAATGATAAAGTAATATGAATCTTCTGTTTTCATAGAGATTTTTTTATTGATAAATTGATTAAAATTTTGAATATTCATGTGAGTCGAGTAGTATGGATTTATCTCTGGATTTTGGATCAATTCAAAATTTAATTGAACTTAATATCGATTGGTCTAGAAGTTCAAACGTGAGGGGAATCTAGCGATTAAATTTGAAGGTCGAGGGAATTTCAGTGGATTATTTCCTGTCCAAAGATCCGACTAAGATCGCAATGGTCAGAAGTCAATGAAAAGCTAGTATGCAATTATCAGGGGTAATTTCCTAAAAGCTCGTGTACAATTTCTTTAAAAAAAAAGAATATTTTCTCGTGGAACGTTTCATTCAAGGATAACTGTTCGTACAGTGGAATGAACCGCGATATTCTAGGTGATTTTTGTGGTTTTTCTCAAGCGACAGAGCATGTAGATAAAATTATTCAAAAACCACAGCGGTTTCGGTAGATTAATTAGTAAAAGATCAACCGGAGTGTTTGAACATTTGAATGTTATTAACATTTTTAATGAATAGAACTCAGAGTGAGGAGTAATTAGAACAAATTAGTACTTAAAGGGGAAACGGAGATAAATTGATTGCGATTATTGACAAGTTTTCAATGATTATCTCAGAATCTAAGGAGGATAGCAGAATTTTTATTATAATCTTTTTTGTGGAGCCAGTTGAATGCTATAATAAATGTTATTACAAAAATTACGGTATCTTCGTTAGATTCGAAGTTATAGCTCAAAAACTAAACTCAGAGATGAGTCAACTTATCTCACTTTAACACTTTATTCCTAAAATGGAATGAAACATGAATAATTCAAGCACTTGCGATGTGTTTAAGGAGTTATTGTTGATCTTTTCTCATTTTTTGTTTTTTTCGCAAATTTCGGAGAAGCAGTTGATAAAATTTACGTGAAAAATGACGGTTTTTAGTTTTATGATTATTTAATATTTTACGAAATTTCATCCGAAGTTTCACCGTGGGAGAATTTACGTTCTCATTAAACTTTTACAAACATTCAAAACCTTTTTAGAAAAATTGAGAAAACTAAACGGACGACCTTGAAAATTTGGGAGTAATTTAATCATGATGAAACCTGAAAACGATTTATTTTTTGGCGTCAATTTCAGAGTTTACCAGAAATTTCCAAAAAAACATGAAAAACGGGAAGATATCGGTAACAACTTCGTAAGCCGTTGTTGCGCGAGAATTTCATTGGAGTCCGTATTTTTGGGCCGTAGAACGATAAGACGTGCCCGACTCACTCGCCGTTTAAATTACTAATAAAAAATAAAAAATAAAAAATGTATACAATATAACTAAGAATATATAAATAAATATGAATAGAAATTCAATAAATAGCGATGAAGATCACAAGAGGCTATCCAAATTTTATATCAATTAAAAATTCAGGAGTAAAATTTTTTCTTTCCTACACTCTTGCGGGTCTGTACGATTTGTTCCCTTCCCACTCCCCAACCCTCTGTATGGCATTTGCCGAAGGGAGGGAAAAAATAATTTTGAGGGAAAAAACCTGCCCTGGTTCCGTGTTTTTGACAGGACTACCACTCGGCAGTGAAACTGTGAGATTAAAATGCTATAAATTTTGACCGTCGGTGTTTGTAATTGAACCCGGATCATTAGCATGCTAGTCTAGGACTCTAACCGCAGGGCCACTACCGTCAGTAAATTCGCAAGTGAATCACTCAAATTGTTTTTATGGATTTTCATAAAATGATTCAAGTGTAATTTACAGTTTTCAATCGCTAAATTCGTTGAAACATCCGTTGCAATTATCACGCGTTAAAGAATTCCCCAGTGTTCTGGAGAATTCCTCTAAAATTATTCACTATTCACCGTAAATTTTCAATGAATACCTCAACATTGCGTACAAAATTAGAGTGAATTTTGAAAGAAACAAAATGAAAATTGAAGAATTCAAAGATGGATCCACCCATATTCTCCTTAACTTTCTATTTCTTCTTAGTACCCGCGGGGCACATATTTCTGTTTTAATAAATAGTTACAGCACTGAATGTCAAGTCATCGATTACAATCCGAAGATAAACTGATGTAAAATCCACAATTGAGAGATGTTGACGGAATTTCGGGTTTTTTAATGCACAGACGAGAGAGCTCGAGGTATTTTTTCAGCTCCGATGATTTTCAAGATTTTCACGAATATCAGACTATAATTCCACGGTCTGTTGATCCTGGATTGTGCAGAGGTCAATCAATGTTCTGTCGTCAGTGTAGAAATGTCTCTGTCACAGAGATTGTGGTTTTTCACTCGTCTCCTGATAAAAAAGTATCAGAAAATTGTGGTTCAAGTCAACTCCCTTTTGCTCACCTACGCTTTAAATAAGGATTAATTAGATTAAAGTTTTAGTCAGTTGATTTTGTCAAGTCGGATAAATACTGCCGGGAATTAAATGGGAAAATAATTGTGAAAAGTCTGAGTTACAGCCTGTTGGGGTAATATCGGCATTCGGCTGCCAGCACTATCATACATGAATTTCGTTTTTCCCAATTTTGAAATCAATGCCGTGGAGGGATGGATTCTGGGGTATGGATGAATTAATGGACAGTTAAACTATTACGGTAATAACGTTTTGACTAAATCTGTCTAGCAAAAAGCGATGCATAAAACTGATTATTTATTAGTTTACAAATCCAATCATGCCTTTTGGAGTGGATTTTTAGTTAATGCATTCGCTGTTCATTAACTCATTCCCAATATCATGACTGTCCTATAACCAGTCCCTGACTTTTTTCCGATTTTGTGGTCATCTGCTTTGGCCTGCAACAAGAAATGAGAGCTATAATGGGTTATAATTAGTTATAATGGGAAAATTTTCAAAATGATATTGCAAGCTGAAAAATGATTAGAAAATTCGTAATTAAAGTTGTAAGACTTTCAACATACAGTCCAAAGTTATTTAAATAGTTGGCAAATGTGAATATTTTTTAATGTCCTCTATCCTAGGCAGCCTAATGGGCATTCATTGAAAATAAAAATAGTTCCATTCTTATTTTTTAACATTTTTTTATATTTATTCCAGAACCCACAAAGTTCCATGAACGTGTAGTAGTTTTATGTTTTAGTTTTAAAAAGTTAAAATTTTGAGTTTTGAGAAATTTTCGAAAAAAAAATGTAAATACATTTATACAAAACCATAAATACAAAAACTGTCTTCACATTGATTCCTTCGCTATTCCCATTCACAGCGGTACATTACCATTCGTTTGCTCATGAATATTTGTGAACAGAAATCTTCTAGAGTATTTCATTGATCAATCATCTAGAGAATAACCCACTTTTTCGTCTATCTGTCCCGCAGCATCTTCAACATAAAATGCGTTGAAAAATGAAAAATAAATTTGAAAATGTACTAGTGAATATCCGTCAGAAATTTTGAATAAACATCACTATAATATTCCCTTAAAAAAAATCCAATGTAACGTTTTTTGAAGCCGGTTTATTCAATATATGTATATATATATAATATTTATATTTATATATAAATATATATAAGTTTTATAAATAGAAGTCTGAAATTCTGTTTGACAGTCTCAAATACTGCGCTCTGATTGGCTGAAGTTCGAGTGAGAAAAATAATCCTTTGATATTTTTCAAAAGTAATTTCAGTTCAATTAGGGGTAATGGTTCTTAGAGTCTCTGAACTGAGAGAATGTTGCTTGAATCGTTGATTTTGTCATGAAATCGATTACCGAGTTGCAGCAAGAGTCATAATTACCACGTGCGTATGAACATTAGGCGAACCGCTATTACCGAATGAATAAATTCACCGTGATATTAATATCCGAGCAACTTCCGGATTAAAAACTGCAAGTAATTACGCAAGTACTGGACTACTGTAGAAAGGATTCAACTGTGTAGTAGTCACCTCACGGTAATCAGACATTAATCAGAAAGCGTTTCACTGGATTGACCTGACAAGTGCAACAAAAAATTTTCCAGTTTTTTTTTCTGCGCGGTGAAAATATTCTGCGCTCGCATTTTTCTCTCGTGGATTTAGTCATTAGGTGGGATTATTGCCTCAATGTTGCGACACGTATGGGAGAGATGGTGGAATAGGTGCGGGATTTGGGAATATTCCATTGAGGAATTACGAATGCAAGCGTATTTTTCCATTGATCGCTTTTTGCGGAGGTGAGAGGCGAAACTTGATATTTTGCAATGAAAGTCAGATTCTGTTTCATTTGGATTACGGATATCTAACTGCCCTGACAATAATTTTTTTATATTTCAGATCCTTTTTTACATTGCGAGATTTTTTTTTTAATTTTTAATTTTTTCGTCATAACTTCGTCTAGATTTTTAATTGCATTGGTTTGAATTAAATTTCGATTGATGACGGATTAATTATTTATTTAATTAAATGATCGGCAATTTTTCTCTGCATTTTAAATGAATGAATAATAAAAGTGAGAATGCAGGAAAATTATTGCCTGAATTCTAAATATTTTAAATGTTTTACGTTTTGAGAATTTCGAATTACTTGAGTTATATCTCAACTGCTCACATATATTCAAACGACCGCTCTAAATTTTATTCAATAATCATAATATTATTTTTAAAAACATTACAAATGTTTACAGCGACAGTGGTGGCGAGTAAAAGGGGGTAATTGACAAGTACATACCAAATATGAGAATTTTTTTTTTCCTCGTTCTTGTAATGTTTCGAAATAACGTGTTTTATCGAAATAGTTTGAGCTCCAATATTTTCCTGTTCTAAAATTTTGAAGCAATTATATTTTCGGTTGCAATATTTTTTGTTGGGATGTTGTAAGGTAATATTTTGAATCGTATCATGTCGATAGGTAATTTATATTCTACATAGATCCGATATAATGCAGATTTATCCGGAATATATGTCCGTAATTAATATATATTCCCCACACATAATTAACATATTTAATCCAGATGCTGCGGGGATAATACAGTTTTTCCCCATCAAACATTCACCCTGAAATGTTTGACACTTAGTAATCATCAAGGTGCAATCACCTGAAACTTGTCGGATGGAAATAGCAGCGAGGTGCACCCATATATCTCCCAACAACATAAATAACTCCGATAAATATAAATTACAGCACTTATTCAATTGCACATACTCACTTTTCCATAAACGAATATCGTGACCCATCGAATTCTTCACTTATGCGCAATTTTCATGACTGACTGACAATGCCCGCTGTCATCATATCTTTTAAATTCCAAAAGCTTCATCATCCACTGATTTTCTTCAGATGGCGAGCATCAAAGGAAACGACGGTTTGAGCGAAATCCAATCGTTTTACAAGGGCAAAACGATATTTATAACTGGGGCTTCGGGTTTCATGGGGAAAGTCCTCCTGGAGAAGCTTCTTTACAGCTGCAGCGATCTGGACCGCATCTACATTCTCCTGCGTTCAAAACGGGGTCGAACACCGGAGCAACGGGTCGAGGAGATGTTTAAACTTCCCGTAGGTACATTATCCCTGACTCCAACCATCAATTATTTTGACGTCTGATGTTTTTACGTCTTATTTACTGAATTTACTCAATTCGCTCAATTTGCTCATTTCGCTCTCGATTTTGGGGAGCGAAATGAGCAAGAGACTGACCCTCAGTAGTTGAATTCATCATTAACAGCTATTGGAATTTAATTTAATATTCAATTATACATCCTTCGTAATTCTAGCGACGATATTCGCTCACTTTGCTCATCAGCCAAGTACCAAGTATTCGTATAAAATGATAATCACTTTTTATGTTCAGTTGTCCCTCGTTTTTATCAAAACACATTACTTCGGTATTTTCAAGCTGATAGTTGCAGTGCATATTCGCTCGGCGATTGAAGCGAGTAGAAATGAGCAAAATTAGCGAAATGAGCGAAACGAGCGAAATGAGCGAAATTCGCAGGATTCATACATCTCTGTTTGACAAATAAATTTTAACCATTCTGCAATGAAAAATAGATCGTCCAAGCACTATTTTTATAAACAATTGACATGAAATAGAAAAACATATAACAATTAAAATGTAATAACAGTTGTTCGAGAGACTCCGAAAATCGCAACCAGATGCCATTAATAAAGTTATTGCTCTACCGGGGGACGTGACACTGGTAAATCTCGGACTGACGGAAGCCCAACGTGATCTTCTTGCTGAGCGTGTGCAAATCGTGTACCACAGTGCAGCGACCTTGAAACTCGAGGCCAAGCTCAAGGACGCCGTTGAGATGAATACCATTGGAACGGATTCGATGCTCCAGCTGGCGAGACGGATGAAAAATCTTCAGGTCTTTGTCCATGTGAGCACTGCTTTCTGTCATGTCGATCAGGATGAGCTGCATGAACGGGTTTATGATGCCCCGGATGATCCCCACGAGGTCATGAGACTCGTTCGTTGGCTCAAGGACGATGCCCTCGATCTCATCACTCCGAAGTGAGTGCTAAATTCATCAGACCAATTCTCTAGCCAAATGGTAAACTAGGATAATTGTTTTTTTTTAATACGTATGTCTTATATATATCTTGTAATTTTTTATAAATAAGGGAACAATGGGAGTGGGATAATTGCAATTTTTGAGAGTCAGTTTTTAAATAATATCTAAGAATTGATGCTTGATAGCGATATTTTTGTAGGTACTCTTTTTATAGGGATAAATGAGAACTAGAAAAATGATATTTACGAAAATGTTGTTGGCTTGGTTTGACTCCATGATATATACTGAATACAAGTTTATCACCTCTTTGCAAAATTTTGCGCTCTCTGTTTTTGTCAAATATATGCCAAGCTTAGCATTTTTGAGGGAAATACCAGAGGCATTTTTTTTAGAGGATGAAGTTCTTCACAAAAAACGTCCTCTGAGTCTCCTCGTAAATCGCCTTCTTATCGACATAATTACGCAGTTAACGAGGAGTCAAAAATGAACATGTTATAAATTGAACAGGTCGTTTATCTCGATCTTTTACGATCGTAAAACTCATTAAAGCATACCCATTTCATCGAAATGGTTGAAATTCTATAATCAAGAGCCCTAATCATTCACTGTCGGTTGGGGTCTCGAAAAAACATGCCACGTCGCTGAAGAAAATTAGACTTTGCAGTCTCATTGAATTTGATTTATGGAAAAAAAATCCTAATCGACATCCCAATTTTTCAGCAGCAGGCAATCAAGAATTCCATCAATCTATTTTTATTTTCTTTTGAATTTTGAGTTCCAAATTACACTGAATTGTTTAAAAAATTTGATTTTTCAATGGTGACAAGAATTAATGAGCTATAAATTCAAGGATGTTCATATGATTTATAAGTTCTGTTAATTTCTCTATAATATTTTCAGTTCTCTATTAAAAAAATGGAAATTAACCCAAATTAGAACTATCACCTCAAAATCTGCGTTGGCATTGGCGGATTGGATCGAGTCCCGGGAAATAATCAGTGGAATTTTTTTCTGATGAACTTATTGTCGTAAATCCACAATTAATGGTTTTATCATTTTCAGGCTGCTGGAGCCACATCCCAACACTTATACATATTCAAAGAGATTGGCAGAGACACTTGTGGCCAATGAATACCCGAATATGCCTTGCGTAATCGCAAGACCTTCAATCGGTGAGTGATCAAGGCCAAGGATATCCATCCATTATCTTGTCGTTTCCCCTTACTATTTTTAAAAAGCTACTTTTCGACTCTTCGATTTTTGACCATCACCAATTAAGCATATATATTCCCTACAGAGAGGGTCGCATATTTTTTTTACATTCTCACGTAAAAATATTGTGAAACTCTCGTAAAATTTCAGGTTCGTTCCGTAATTTCTCAATTTCTGATTAACATTTCGCCCCAGGATACCGGAACTCTCACGTAATTCTGCGTGAAATTTTTTCTCCGTGCACCATTTTTTAGATTTTTTTATGCAGATTGTCGGCAAATTGTTGAAGAGACTCCCTGTAATCATTCCCAAGTTTAAAGCTGGTCGAAATACTAATAAAACGAATATTTATGCCACAACTAGATGAATTTCAATAACAACTTTTTAAATTAAATATAAAAAAGACGAGATTTTTAGTTTTTAGAATATCTTTTATCATACCAATTTGAAGTTCACTGTTTGAAGCCATTTGGTGTGCGTAAAGTTTGTGTTTTCCGCACGACGTGCGTAACGTGAATTCCGAGTGTGTAAAGTACATTTTTACACACGACCTCGACACGTGCTAAAACAATCACTTCACCCCCATCACAATTCCGACCACTGGACTTTGCAGATATAAAAAATAGCATGGATTGCACGTGCTTTTTATTTCGTCACAATGTGTGTGGAATGGGAGCGTGCGTAAAATATCACTTTACACACGGTGTCCTGAAATTCGTGTTTTTTGGGCGTTTGCGCTGTGGATCTTCTGAATATGGAAATTTTCAGTGACACCGGCCTGGGAGGAGCCTCTGCCAGGGTGGGTGGATAGTTTGAATGGCCCAGTGGGACTGATCGTGGGCGCTGGTAAAGGGGTGATCAGATCAATGCACTGTAATGGCAATTATCACGCTGAGGTGGTGTCCGTTGATTTTGCCATCAATGCACTCATCGCTATTGCCTGTAAGATTGGAAGTACCAAGAATAGGTATGAGTTTTCATATTCCAGGTAATTTATCATCACAACATGCACGTCATCTCCCAGTAGTAAAAGTAGAATAGTGTAAAATAATAATGAATCATTTACACTTCATATTAGATTATATATATATAATAATAATAATTATTATTATTGTTTTTTTTATTTATATTATTATTGTTATTAAAGGAAACACGTATAGCGGAATTCGATGCCAAGTAATAGAGCAAAAAAGTTCAAGAATTTCAAGTGGAAGCGATAGATTTTTCTCTTTCAATGTTCTATCTGCGTAATTATTCCAGAAAACTCACTTTTCCTGTTTCAAGAATTTTCTAGATCAACTATTTGCATTCTGCTCCCGATTGGTTTAAAATGGAAAATGATAGTCACTTCTCATGTGGGGAAATTTACCGGTACTTTCTCTGAGAAAGTTATTGAATGTTTATTCTACTTGTGCAACAATTATTTCTTAATTCTACGAAGGTTCTGCTTGAATATTTTATTTGCTTTTACTTCAATTATATTGAAAATTATCCAACTTCTCTGCTTCAAAGAACTGTGGTGTTGAAGAAATTTGGAGAAAAAGAGAAAATGTGTTTTTCTTCGAATAAATATCGAGAGGGTATGGAATAAAGAAATTAAACTAATTAGGGATTTCAGAACTCCAGATATGCCGGTGTTCAACATCACTCAGAGCCGAGTGGTTCCAGTTACATGGGCTGACGTGTTGGAGAAAGGAAAATCGGTTGCATATGAATTCCCTTTTGATGGAGCAATTTGGTACCCAGACGGCGATATTCGGAGCAGTAAATTTATACACAATTTGGTTGTCTTTTTCTTCCATATTATCCCTGCGTACTTCATTGATTTCCTCATGTTGATATTTAGGCAAAAACGATTGTGAGTATTTGACATTTTTATCATTGTCTTTCTTTTTCTTGTCATTCATCTTTTACTCTAGAAATTCGGTCGTATCGCGATCGTCAAGCGCCAGACCCTTAAACTAAAAAGAGTCTGTCAATGTAATATATTAACGAATCATTTATTTTTCACACTTTAATTATTTCCATTGTATAGAAATTTAAAATCATGATGTTTCTTTAACTCCGGATTGAAAATTTTGTATTTCACGTTTCATTAATTTTTAAGGCATAATTTTCAAATTAAAAAAATATATCTATATGTTGTATATAGTATATATATTACATACATCTAATATATTAGTTAAAACGCTAAAATAGCGCAAAATTGGACTCAGAGAATGTTACACTGAATTTTTTAAAAGAATCCAAAATAAATTATATAAATTATACTCCTAAAATAAATTATTCCCGAGATAATTTTGAGTTAAAAGAAGTGAATAATTGATATCGTCTTGGTCAGATTGCCGTTTTCATAAAAAAATAATGGATTCTAGGAGAGAATATTATATTTCTTTTGAGATTATTACCATTTTTTATTTCTCATTGTATCTCCTTTCATAATCGGCAATATCTTCTTGATCGATTTCTCTGGTAGAAGGAAGGGGGTAGGATAATTGTATTATCTAGGATGAACTAGTTTCATTTGTAATTTTATTTATCGTTTGATTTTCTAGCATGGTAAGAATTCAGAGAAGAATTTCCGATGGGCTCGAGGTTCTGCAGTACTTCACGACGAGGGACTGGATCTTTCACAACACCAATTTACTCGACTTGTGGGACAACATGAGTTCGCAGGACAAAGCACTGTTCAATATTGATTTCCTATCTATCAATGACTTGGAGTACATCAAGAGGATAATACTGGGGGCGAGGCAGTACTGCATGAAAGAGAAGTTGGAAGATCTGCCGAAGGCACGCCTGCATCTTAAATTGTGAGTTTGCAAATTATTATTTTTTAAACATCAATCTCATTTATTTGCGAAGATGGAATTGCATAGATGACCGTAAACTGTTAAACCGTTTTGGAACTTGCGAGTTCAGTCTCAATTAGTTTAAGGGCTTATTTTCCCATTTTTTATGTTTTTTTTTGTAAATTCCTCTGAAACCCTTGATTAGATTGACAAGTCGATTATAGTGATTACCTCATCTACGACAAAAGCCGTAAATCGTTTTATCGCTTCATGACTGAATTTTTCGTGCACTCTTTTGAGTTAAAAAAAAATCATACAATGATATTTTGGTTTTAGCCTCTATGTAATTCATCTAATGGCAGTCTATGGATTCTACTATCTCGTCCTCTCAACTATCATAAAGAACTTCGAGTTCACGAGATACTGTCTTGACCTTGTCACCGAGAAAATGAAATACTTACCGATTCTGGGACGTTTTGTCGACAGAGCAGCTCCAGCCTAGACCGCAGCCTCAGGAGCATCTAATAAAATTGTTTAGTCCCCCGGAAGAAAAATAAAACAAAAATTCGATTGACAAAAATGTATCTGTACAAAACCGTCTATTTTACACATTGAAATGACTTCCAAATATAATAGATATAATATATTTCAAGTTGACAACGTAAACAAGATAATTTTCTTTACAAATTACAAGTATTCTCACCCTTTGGGAAATATAAAAAAATTTTCCTTACGATTGGTTTGTTTAATTTTCCTTAAACTACGACAATCTCGTCGATTGGACATCACTCTCACTCGTATTCTAATATCCTTGGTCATTTCGTACCTTATAACTTATCTATCAATGAAAAAATCGTGGAAAAAACATTTTGGACCTCCACGTGCTCACGAAATCGAAAGGAATGAGTCAAGAATTCATAACATGAGTATCTCGAGGGTGAAAAATAATTGGAAAAAATTTCATAAGAACTTGCTCTAGAACGTGAAATGTGCACTTTACAATTTCCTGCGAGATTTTCCCCAAAATAAATCGTTAACAAGAGTATTTCACATTAAAATAAGTAAAAAATTGATTTCTCTTTAATATCGAATTTTTCACTTTTGTTGAATATGCATTTTCAGCCGAACCTATTGATTCTAGGAGGAAGCATTATATGACATTTTTTGTAGCTAACGAAATTTTCCACAAAAAAGTCTTGCCACGTTTTCCTCTGAACTCAATTAGTATCGAGATAATGATCATAACAAAAGAAAAACATTGAAATTTGGACGTTTGAGTGTTGGAATGGAGAAATGGAGAGAAAAAATTGCACTCGACTCGAGGAACACGAGGTAAAATATTGACAAATAACTTCTAATGACTCGTTATCTCCTCCAAAGTCGTTCAGTAGTCAAACGATTGTGGAATTGATGATTAAACTGACGCTCATGTCGCCAGAGCATGTGCAACACTAGAGATGCCTTGGTGTGGTAGGGTTTTTGTGCTCGGGCTGAGGCATCCTCTGGACAACGGTAACACTTGAGATATTTGGTAACACCACTGCCTCTCTTCCGCTTTTTCTGCTCAATCTGTCGCTTTTTTTCTTCTTCCTCTTCCTCTGCAAGTTCTGCCTGCGTCAGAACTTTCCGAGGCTCCCGCTGCTTCCGAGATCTACTCCGGCCGTTTGATTCACTGTATTTTCAATAAATTTCATATTGTAGATTTTTCGTGATTATCACGGGGAAATATCTGGGAGGTATTAGTGTCAAGGAGCTATTCCATTAATTTTCAAGTAGTTATTGCCCATATTTTCTCATTTTTCAAGATTTTTTCGATAAATTTCAGAGAGACGGTTGATAAAATTGATGTTTTTGAAGAAATTTTTTTTTTATTATTTTACTCCACCGCTTATTTTATTCATTCGATTTTAGTTTTTATGAAGAATTATAGATTTTAGGAGAAAGCATTAGAAGAATTTTTTTCTGGATATTTAAAGTACTTCTAATTCTACTATTTAGATGAAATATTTTGCAGTACACTAGTTACTGAATTTGGATGATATCCATTGAAGAACGATTCTCAAAATTTTCCAGACTTTGATCTCTCTTTAACTTGATAGCTGCTGAGATTTAAAATTCTTTAAAATTCGAATTTTTGCATTTTTCAACTTTTAACGATTCACATCTCCAAAATGGGCAGGTGAAAATAATTGAAATTACGGTAATTATGAGAAATCTTATTGTTTTCTAGCCATAGACACTAAATTTTCGGATTAAATAATGACTATTTAAGTTTGGCTTTGAAAATGTTGTGAATAGTAATTTTACTTGTCAGATTTCTAGATTATATTATTCAATACTTTTTTACTAAAATATTGTTTACATCCCACACAATTCGGCAAACCATTGGAATTTTTTTTTAATCTGACGTTTACGATTAGTTTTCGCCATTCCCAATTGTTTGATAATAATAAATTAATGCTTTCTCCTTGAATCAATAGTTTTAAATAAATTGGTAATTGAGAGTTATGGTAAATTGGACTTATGACTTTTAATCCTAATTAGAGAGAGTATTGGGGGATAAATTTTGAGATAAAATAGAGATGGAGATGGAATGGCCGGGGTTAATTTAGGTAATTGGTGTCGCACCTGACGTACGTCCAGTTATCCTCGTTTTGCGTGCGTTGTTCGCTGTTTATTGCCTTATTCGGGAATTATCACAATTACCATCTCGTGGCTGCTACCACTGCGGCACTGTTCATACAACTTTCATTTAATTTTCGAGTTTACAGTTATATTTTATGCTTTTCAAGCACATGAACATTGAATGCGTTATTAAAATTTGGGAGCTTATACACGAAAATTATGTCCATTCGTTCCTGACTTTCTCAGTTTCTCATTCCGCAAACATCAAATTGAGTTGAAATTTTTCCTTGAATTTTTCTCATTACTCAACATCGAAATTTACTGGTTCTTTCTTAATTAGATAAAGTATTCCTTTTTAATTATCATGTGTCTCTTTTTGTCTACTCAATTGTCGTATTCCATTTTCTGTTTCCATAAAAAATGATTGAACAGTCCATTTTCAATTTGAAAAATCCCTCAATATTAATTAATTAAAAAAATGTGCATGTTTATTCTAAATTAAAGGAAAAATACGTATCAAATATTATTCTTCTAATTTTTATATTCTATAATTTTTTAAATGTGAGAAAAAAATTATGGGGTTTAAATTTAGCAGAAATAAATATTGAAAACATGGAAAAATTATACATTGAGAAAACCATGAATTACTCTCAACAAGCGTGCTATCCAAATGAATAATCAAATAAGAAATAATAAAACGGCAAAAACGACAGAAAACGCATACAAAACGAAAATAAAATAACGACGTGGCAAGTACCATTGCGTAAATTGACGAACATGTAAATATTGAACGAAACTATACATAGCGCTAACAAAACGAAATGCTGAAATCAAATATTCGAGGGGAAAGGAATACAAAGAAAAAAAAATGAAACGTGATATAGGTAAACTACCCAACAGGCAAGCTCAGTGATACGTGACTAGAGTCCTACATGAACTTATTTTCTTCTCTTTATTGTTCCAAGTTGTAACGAATTTACTCACCCAAGGATGGTTGTAGGTGGTGGAACAACTGCGGCAGCAGGAGCCGGAAACACTGGAGGTCCAGGGGGTGGTCTTCCACCACCAGCAGGGCTATAAAAATTACTATTATTTAAAATCATGAGGAATTTTTTTATGGCAAATTTTATAAACCTGGAAACATTTTTTGGAACATTTTCTGGTAAATGTCATCGTTCTTGAGGTTTACTCAGTTACCGAAACAACTTTTTGAAGTGTTGAAAATTTTCATACAAACAGGTGGTCGACGCGATCCAGCAGAAGGTATATGGCCGTTATTTTATGGACTATTCGTCGTTCTTACTCTGTTTTTCTATCAATTCCATTGGCTATAATCATTTGAATGTATCGCCCATGCGTATCCTTAAAACATTTTCCATCATTTCACCTCAACTTTTAATTTTAAAAGAATCATAAAACTGTAGAAAAAACACATGAAAATTTGATCGATAATTTTCCAGAAAAATTAAAAAAAAAAAGATAAGCAGTCGTCTCGTTTCACCACTTCAAAAAAAAAATTGGACTCGGTAGATTTGGAATAATTGAAATGATTAATGATCTTACTGAACAGGATCATGTCGGTTTATCGTTGGAGCAGATGCCGGGGTAGTCGGGCTGGCGAGAGAAGGCGATTGCGCCAGAGATACAGGAACTGAAGCTCCACTGGATGAATTACCCGTATTTATTCGATGAACGTGGAGCTGATGGAGTTGTAGTTGAGAGGCGTCTTCCCCGAGGAATGAGCACCTGGAGCACTGACGTTTGTTGTGAACCTTGAGGACATGTGTCGCGAGACGTTCAGCTCTGGCTGCTTTGTACTCGCAGAGAGCACAGGCGAAGGGCTTCAGGTGCGTATTCAGATGACGCTTTAGACACCAGTTGTCCACACCACTCCATGAGCAATAGCAACAGGTGTATCTGAGAATTAAAATGGCAATAAAATTAAAATATCAATAGGAAATATATTCCATATTTTCTATTAAAAAATCAAAAAGAATCAAGAAGAATCAGAAAGAATTTTTGGACAAAAAATCTGCCATCTAGATTGCCAGTGAAATAAATAATTACCTTCTCTCCTGTGCACCCTTAGTTCCAGCCTTCAAATGGCTCTTGCTATTGCAGCCAGTATTCTGTATTCTCCTATTGCAATTGCTGTCTTGTATAGCCCCTACAACACTGGTCATACTGGCAGTCTGATAGAGAGCAGGTGCTACACCAGCAGCACCGGTCGCCTGCGTCGTTTGCAGCTGATAACTCTTATTATTATTGTAATTGGTTGTATAGGTGCCATTGATGGTGTTGCTGTTGGTCTCGTGAGGTGTCTTGGTACCATTAGTGGTTGGTGTACGTCTTATTTTTGCCAACTCGTACGTGTGCTCCCTGTGCATCCGGAGGAAATGCTTCTTCACGTGATCAGCACGGTTGAAGGGTTTGTAGCATACGTAGCAGTGGAAGGGCTTTTCCTCCCTGTGGATGTTCTCATGACGTGTGTAGAGATCACGCCTGTCTGTACCATAAGGACAGTACGGGCATGTGTAGCGTTTGCCACTTGATGATGAGCTTGTTGATGAGGTAGTCATTGTTGGTGGGTTCTGCGGATTTTTTTTAATTAGGGTTTTCCTTTTTGCGGATATCTCAGTGTCCGAGGGAGATGGTGGATTTTTTTGTTGATATTTTTTTGTAGGGCTTTTCGAGAGCTACAAAAAAGTTTATATGCCATTTTTGGTATCTCGTGTCGATATTGAGATATTTTCTAAAAACTAAAGACTAGGATAGCGACGAATTTAGTGTTGATATATTTGTTCATTGCGATGCAGCTTTTTCTAAAAATAAGTATTAAATAATTATAAGAAATGGGGAAATTTTTACTAATGGAGGATGGCTGTTAGTTATGACCTTGAATAAATTTGATTAATAATTGTCAATATTAGAGAATTTACAGGATTTAGTCAGAAATCGTTGCAAGAGGAATAAAGGAACAATTCTAAGTATTGAGGGACAGCCTGTCTATGCCAAAATTGCCAAGACTATTGAAGAGCTTGAAGAATTGACCTGTTTTTATTATTGAATTAATTCGTTAGTGGAAAGTTCAGGAAATTTTACGAGATATATCTAAAGTGAGAACTGCTCTCGCTATTCTTCTCGATAATGAAGTAGTAAGAGTGATAAGTCAAAGGATCTATTTTATAAATCATCTTGTAGTGAATGAAACATTTTCATTTTGCTTTCTTATTACTCATTGTGTAAGTAACTACGTCATGAGAATAATTAGTGCCGAGTTTACTGAGACATTGCATATACACTGAGGAAATAATTATTTCTGCTAAGGATTCATCTACTTAAAAGAAGTTTGAATTTTCATAAAAATTCTATTTCTCCGGGTGATCTGGACTAGATGTTAATAATGGTAATCATATTGCTCTGGCGGATGATTATGTTGGTTTTGACCTTGAATGTACCCCATCAACAGTTATCAATGTTAATGAATTATTTCAATTTTTTCTCTTTCGCAAACTCGGTACTTAAGGTTCACACGTACTAGGTGTCTATCGCACATACTCTTTGGCTTGAATTTTATCTTGTTAACCTAAAATATCCCCCGCATAATCATTCTCTAAAACAATATGATGATTATTATTGGAACCAAATCAGAATCGCCTGGGAATTACTCACTTGGAGAAATAACTTTTTGAAAAAAATACATACACGCCGAGAAAAATCAGTAAAAGTTGCCTAACCTTCAGGTGATTCAATAATAAAGATTTATTGATTCCTTGGTAAAAGACGTTTGAGAAAAATCCCTAATTTCGATGAATTTTTCTCGAACGTTTAAATTACTAAACGGCTGGAACAGCCGGATTACTAAACGGTTTCGTAATTTTTATTGAATTTGTCTCTGTATACTTCTATTATGTGCATGGACCCTTGGCGAAATTTTTTTTTAGGGTACGACTGAACTACTGAATTATTCGAGGGGCCACACACTGCCTGATTGAGTGACACCATGACTTCAAGTTTGACTTCGGGAAAACATGAAGTCAATGACTCTAAGTGATTTTTAATGAGACCTCGTGAATGAAATTGACTTAAAATAATTTCATAGATGCGAAATCAATGATTTCAGATGTAATGAGGTCACCGAATTCACGATAAATAAAATTCACGCATCGAGAGGGAACACGTTTAAATTCTCGAAATCTGCTGATTTTCTAAGAATGAGACAATGAGACAATGAGATTCGTTTAATTACACGGACAGAAAAAAATCAATGAAAATTACCGTACCGCTTTGTAAAATTGATCGTCTACATGGTAAAAGTTATCCAACCGTTTGAAAAAATGTTCTTGACTTTTAGATAACTTTTCCCTAATAACTAGATAACTGTTACTAATTTAATTACGAAAAATTGACGATTGCGCGTTAAAAGTTATTTAGCCGTTGGAGTAAAAATGTCAAAATTACTCAAAAGTTCGTTAATTTTTCCAGCAACGGCTGAGCATTCGACAAATTGAACTGAGCGGTGCGGCAATTTTCCCCCTAACAGCTACAACAGAGCACGATTACCAGATGGCTAGGTAATTTTTACTGAATTTTTCTCTCCGCATAATTTCGAATGAAGGCAACGCGTCATCAGAATTTCTTCGTGATTTCAAATAATTTAAATGGCATTTGGAAATGACTCCTTGGAATTATTGGATAAATTAAATAATGTGAGAATACGTACTGTCTGCAAATGCTGGGGTGGCGTTGTCGGGAGTTCCTGAAGGAGAAAGGGGGTTGTGACGGGCAGAAGGGCAGCTGGGACTGTTTGGGTCTCCTGCGTCCTTCTGGAGGGTGGTGCCTGTCTCTCTGCTCTGTCACGCACTCTTTCCAGGTACGTAATAATATCCTCAAGCTTCACGTCGCTCTGCAGGTAATCCTTCCTCCCTGAATGGTGTCGATGTCGTGAATCCTCGTGAATTCTCGACAAGTGCAACTCCACAAAGTGTTCCGCTATTTCTCTCGGTCCTCCGTTCATACAATCACCTAAAACCCGAATTCAAACATCAAATTATTCTCCAAAAGCACACACACCATAATCCATGAATTTTTTAATTTTTAACTTTTTTCGGATCTGACTTTGACGAATATTTCGACAATGAAGGGAGATGGCAGAATTTTCATAGAAACTTTTTTTGTACAGAATTTCAAGGGCTACAAAAAAGTTTCAATACGATTTTCCCTATCTCGTTTCGATTCTGAGATATTTGGCAAAATTAAAGTTCTGGGGATTGGCCGATTTTGATCTACGAAATGAGTGAATTTCGTGGAATTTTTGAAAATATTTGGAAATCGGAAGGAGATAGCGTCACTCTTGATAAGAACTTTTTTGTAGGCAAATTGAAGGTCTATGAAAAAGTTCCCACAAAAATTCCGCTATTTTTATTAATTTTCAAGATATCAATGATACTATAAAATTGGTAATATGTTGAGTAGAAAAATGACTTTACCACATTCGTAACAACGCCAGGTGGACTTTGACGCATGATAAGCAGCAATTCTGCTTCCATCAGTTCCTTTGAGTGGCTCGTCCTCGCAAATCCAATTTCCCTCCTCGGAATCGGTGCCGTTTCCGGTGTCCTCGTCGTTCTTATACGAAACCGAAGTCTCGAATTCGTTTTGAACACTAGAGGCTGCAACCGACAACAAGTCATGAATAATGAGAAATCTCGGGGGTATGATGAATCCATTAGAATGCGATAATCCTTACTTCTGTGATCGGGATCGTCGCCGTACAATTTTCTTGTAATCTCTTTGAACATGTCCTCGTAGCAGTCTAGCCTGCTAATACCTGTTGTGCCGCTTTCCATGGTATTTTTCTCGGTAAAACGGAAATGTGAAAGCCGATGGGGAATGACTGTCACCCCTGGGAGGCACCGAGGCCACCTCTACCCCCTTCGAGGGTCGATCTTTTTCCTCGGCTACCTGAATCATTCAAGGACGGTTTACGATAAAAACTCCTTTACCGTTATGACCTTTCCAGGGAAGATTGTTCAACAGGCGGATTCATTAGGAACTTTGCTGCATGAGTTACTTTGCCAATTTTTACCCCCAACAGCCCTTCAACTTTTACTACTTGATATCAGACTTTTCCTTTAATCCCCATTTCACTCCAAGTTCCTCCAATTCTTTTTTTTAACTTCATTGTTTTTATTTTGATAGGTTTTTACTTGATTCTGAATCTTCAAGCGTCAGAACAGATTTTTAATTTTGAAAAAATTCTTAAGTGAATGACTCGAAGGTTCTGAAATTATAAAATTGTTTAAACCACTTATAGATTATAGATTAAAAATTTTAAAAACTCGGTATCATTGGGAGAGAGTAATTTTTCTTTTTAAAAAATCATTTGCATAAATTTTAAAACCGGAATGCATTTTTATTTCACGTCAGACAAATTGCAATAATTAATACTACAGGAAGAAAGAAAATATTTAAAACGGTAAAAATTGATGAATTTATCTCGTAATTCACTCACACAGTGTTTTTCTCCCGAGATTTCCCGGGATTTTCCCGCAGTTTAATGCCTCGACATAACATCCGAAAGGTCAAACCAGAAAATCATGATAAATCCAAGCGGAGAAATTTTCCCACTAAAAATCCCATCAAAATAAATCCTCCAAAAATCCACCCCTCCGCCATTCACTCACATCCTCAAAAAAAAAAAACAAATAAAAACCATTCAAAAATTTTTCTCAATCCAAAACGAACAGTAGTTCGTGAACAACTCCCCCAATTAAAAATTCCAGCGGTGAATTTTTTGAGGGTGATATAATCCCCCATGGGGAAAGCATTCCAATTTCCGGAAAAACCGATGACGATTCCCTACACCAAAGCAAGAACTTGAATTCAGATCAATACACTATCGATCCACGCAAGCGTACCTCCTAAAAGACCACCCCTTTCCTGAATAACCCAAGATGATTTAAAAAGCCAGCCGGTGGTATCGATATTCCAGCTGAATCCTTTGTAACCCAAAGGAGAGCATCGGCACCGGGGGTTGTCACAACTCGTTAGGGGAAGTGAGGGTTGGGGGGATGGATTGTAGGAAAACGAGGGCTGAGGGGTGGACGAGGCGGTCTAAACAGCCGGATAAATCAATATTCCCTTCACCCCCCACCTTCCACCCCTCGCACCACTTCCTCCCCTCTGCCCCCGTTGCCTCCCCTTTCGCCCCCTCCGCCTCTTCTCGTCCCCTTCGCCTGAGTCCCCCTTCCGCCTCTACCACCGCTACCACCTTTACCACCTCTTCCACCCCCTGACAGATGCGGAACCTCCCCCACACCTTGAAAGAGGGAAGCGAAAAGAAAAGAAAAGAAAAAAAAAAAAACAAGAAAGAACGACTCCCGAAAATTCGAGTAGTCCCAACTGAAGGAAAACGTGTACAATACCGAAGAAAATTCATCCCGTGGAATTTAGTTCCCCCATCTGGACTTAACGACAAAGGGGAGGCCTTGGCCACCCCTGTTCAATTCCCCAGCGCATGCGCACTGGTTAAACCGAGCGAGCAAGAAAGAATCCCGCGTTATCCCCAGCCTCTAAAAAGAGAAGAATCAAACCGAAAGAGAGAACCTATCCCCCGAACGCTTTCAGGTCAGAGACAGCCAACCCTGTTGTGGCCCTCAACCCAAGCGTCATCCGTTCGACAAACTACGCAGAGGTGCCCCCACGTTTTCCACACACCAAAAACACAAATTCACCGAAAAAGAAAAAGAAAAAACCAAAAAAAAAAAAAACACTTGGAAACCCCGAGACTCAGCTCAAAAACAATTCACACCAATGAATAAAAAGCGAAGAAAAAATAAATAATAAAAACACACAGTCCAAGTGATAGCAATAATTCAAGTCCTCCCGCCCTTGGCTCACAAAAATAATAATAACACTCACCGATTGCAGTACACAGCTCGTTATTATCCGCTGGGTTCGTCACGTGTTGGGTAAATAAAAATAATAATCACGAAAATTAAATCAATCACAAGTCCATGGGGATAGTCAAACAATGGGGGGAGGGGGAGAGAGAAAAAAAAAAGTTGTTACAACGAAAATATTTAACGGCGGTTTTAGTGTGCCCGAGGAATTGCAGGTTGTTTCCTCGACGGCTGTCGGGTGGCGAGTGGGTGGGCAGGCGGGGTGGCCGGGTGGCCCCAGTGGGTGGTGTCGGGTGGGCATCGTGTGGGTGGGAAGAAGTGGGGTGAGGGGAGCAATGTACCCCCTCCTCACTTCTCTCCCCTCTCCTTCATCTACGCTTTTGTGTTCCTTCAATGGGATATTCGTGGAAAGGGAATTGGACTTGGGTTTTGCTCTCAACGCTCTCAAGAGGAATAGACTCTTCATGTTGGTATGTGTTTGGGGGAGGCGGGGGGAAAGTGAGGGGGTGGGGGGCTTGGGTAAAAATTCGACTCTCTTCATCGTTCTGTCCTACTTCACCCTCCCCTCCCTCAGACGTCTCTACCCACTCCCTCCCCCCCTCTCTCAATCACCCACCCTCCCACTACTGTCCCCCTTTTGCCCCCCCTCCACTCCCCCTGTCGCCCCCTTCCTCGTCAGCCCCTCGGCGCTCCTTCAAACCACCTCCCACTTCTAGCAATTTTCCTCTGGCCCGGCTGTTCTCATAGTCTCTTCCTTCTTTCACTCTCTCTTTCTCTCTTTCTCTTTCTACTTGCCTCATCACCCACCCGCACACGTGTTTCTGCGAGACTGGATGAGAGTCGGGGGGACAGACCGGGAGGGCTCCATGGATCCCATGATTTAGGTTCAATTCGTCTTGTCACTGAAAAAAATTATTTTGAGGTATCAATGCTCACTGAGATTTTGGGCTGGATTTTTAGTCGTGTGATTGACATTTCAAGTCTTCAAGTATCGGCTTGAGAAGTCTCGAGTTCGAAGTTGAGGCTTGGATTGAGTAATAGTCTGATCTTGAAGGAGTTGGCAGGCTCAAAATGAGATTTGCAAGACTCAAGTGTCCATTTTTTTGAGTCTCAAGTACAATTTTTGTTGACACTTGTAGAAATCAAATTGATATTTTTATAAATGTCAAGTGAAGTCTTGATGTTGAGACTGAGTACTCAGATAGTTCTCAATAACTTAAGTTAAGATTTTCGACGATCGCTTTGAAATTTCTCAAATACAATCGGAGACTTCTCAACTCAATTTGATATTTTTCCTAACAATTGTCAAGACTTGAATGACGAAAGAAATAAATAAAAATGTAACTTGAAGAGTGGCGGAAGTTCCAAGTGTAACCGATCAACAAGGTTTATTTGAGATTCTCACGCTTCAAACTGGGATTCCCAAAAGTTCCAAGAAAACTTTTGAGTTGTTACTAATGTTGCTTTGGCTGATTGTTGATGGATTTGAGAATTTTTTTGATACCTGTCTAGATTTGTACTGAGAGACTGTTAGAACGGATGAGTTCCTACAGAAGCGGTTCATGGTTCCTTTTTCCGGGGGATAATGATGTAATGAGAATGAGAGGGCGGTAGTGCACGTGCAGAGGGGGTTTCCGGTAATTCCTGAATTACCGATAGCAGGACAATGAAAAAAGCAGATGGCGCTCGCGGACATCAGCGATTTTTAAAGTGGAATTTTTGAATCAATATTTTGTGTATAACCGAAAAAACCAATGATAATTTTTATTTACATTAATTTTCCGTAGAACTCATGGGACAGATCGCTCCAATAGCCCGCGACATTCAAAACTCAACATTATTGTGAAAGAATTAATTATTCCGAACGTAAATTAAAGAAACTTCGATAATTTTTTAATGAGCTCTAAAAATTTTACAGTAACACTAGAAATTCCTGGGAATCCCATGAATGCCTACCCCAATATTTGATTAACAGTAATTGACAAGATTAATCTGTAAGTTAATTATTACTCCCCAATTCGATGATGCAGCTAAAAAATTCCTTCCGCCAACCTTTTCCCAATAACAAATCAAATTTCGAGATCATCCCTCACTTTGGGCAGTACCTGGAAGTCATAGGCTCATAAAAATCCATATTACCATACAAATGAAAAGCAACTGGAATATTCTTTTCGTTTTGTCTATATTATTATCCAAACATTCATAACTAAATTTTCTTGGCAATTGAATGTATGAAAAAATAGAGACTAAAACATGTCCTGATTTTCTCAGTATCCAGCCTCTAAAAATGGTCAGCCTGAGCCTGAGCTCGTAGCTCATGCTTAAATACCTCTCTCCTCCCCCTCCAAAAAACCCATTAAACAAAAATTTGATCAGCTCACAAATTTTCATAAAAAAAAAATCAAAAATATCTGAAAAAAAAGTTCGACCCTCTGAGTTGTTTTTTCCATGGAAGTCGGTCGAATTGCTATTTCCACCCCATTCTCCATAATACTGACTTATCTCGTCGAATAAATCATAAAATTAGGTTAGCATCAGTCATCCCCTCTCGTTGGGTTAAAACGAGTGAAGACCGGAGTGAATGAGCGTCTGGTGTGCGCAGTGATAATTCTGCGTACACAGAAAAATCATACGACAATAAAGCCAGAGGGTAGAGTGAGAAAGCGATAAGGAGAGAAAATAGGAGAGGGAAATCATGAAGCTGCGTCGGCGCTAGAGTCTCACCCAATTTTTTTTTCTCTCTCTTTTTTTTTTTTCTATTTTTCCTAGCGGGGGATCCGTCAGAGTGTAGAATACAGTGGAGGGCCAGGCCGTCAGCGCCGACGGACCGCCATATTGGCAATATTCGTTGTCCGTCATCCCAAGAAAAGGGATAGAGTAAAAAAGAAAGGGAGAGAAAAAAAAAGGAAGGTACTGAGTGAGCCCTGCACGCCCCCGCGCAACACCTCCTTCACGAGGATAACCCGGGGCTCCAGGAAACGGTGTCGGGGCAACATATATATTCATTCTTTTTTTTTTATCCATCAAAACCAATTATCAGTGATTGACAAGTGTAGAGGACCGATCGAACGATCTGGTCTCATCAAACCAATTTAATAAAGACTTTTCAATAATCGTGATTACGTTATTTATTTTATCATTTGTCTTTTGATTTTTTTTTTTTTTATTCTCTGTGAAGGCTGCCAGTGTGGCTAGTTTGTCATCGGGCTGGACTTATCTGTCAACCATGAAATAGGGAATAAGGAGAGAGGATCGACGAATAGTGCCCCTAGGACGGGGGTTGTACATGACGTGTGTCTGACCGTTCAACGCGATGACTCCGTATCACAGGGTAAATAGCTATAATGTGTCATTGGAAATCAGTTTGAGCCACGACTGAGGGAAAATCAGAGGATAAATTATGATGCGAGTGACACTGACAGCGAATATACCGTGTCAATGAGGGAACATTGACGGGAGTTGGCCCTTTTTTTTTTCTTTCATCTGTCGTTATTTATTTTGAATATGTGAGGGGGGGTTGGGGCCACTGTGTTGACTCGGTGTGTAAGTGAAAGTGGATTTTTTTATTTTGGGACAAATGTCGGTGTAGATTGACACGGGAATCAGTGAGATATCAGTGAATTGATGGACAATAGATCGAACATTTTTGTCAACAGTTGGTGATTGCTAGTAGTGGTAAGGAGCCAGAGGAAAAATCATTAAAACGTGGAAAAAAAAGGTTCAAGTAGAGTGAGTTCGAGGTATCCGTACGAGGTCGTACGCCCGCCAATCAATACCGCACGGCCCCGACCACTTCTAGTACTTCCTATCCGCAAGCTCCAAACGTTATATACGTACGATTCACGCAAGCTCAGTGGTCTTGTTGTGTTTTTACGCTGGGTGGCAGCACCGGTTGTCAAAATCAAATCCATTTTACGAGGAGGAAGTCAGTTGACAGCCGGTTACCACGAGATTGTGGGTCATTTCATGTAGGTTCAGTAATCCAACGCGCAAACCACTTGCTTTCAAATCCCACACACTCAGTGATTTATTTCTACGCATGGGCCTGACGCTGATGTCCGCAGACTGATTTCGTGGCTCATTGCATTGTCGTCGGCCTGACACGCGAGCGACTCGGGTTCGAGTCCCACGCCTTGAGGGACTTATTTTTCGCCAGTTTCCTGAGTTGAACTGAGGAGTTATGAGCTAGCTGATACAGTGACGTTACTGCTCCGTGAATTGTCTGACATGTCAACGACTGCTGTCAAGACCCCAATTGTCATGGATAATTTCGAGTTCAGCAAAATGTCATGGCGTGTGAGGAATCCTTGAGGCGCTTGTTGTTTGGAATTTTCCGTGGATCATCAATGCTATTGGTCGATGATGTTTGGTGCTCTAAGACTCAGGAAAACATGAAAAAAGGGCATTAATCTTCAGTGATTCGTCACAAATCGTGCGCGGGAAATGATGACAAACATGCGCAGTGCAGTACAAGTATTGTCGTTAATTATTATGGGGTGCTGGTGCAGCGATCGCAAGGTGGCGTAGGTGGAGATTGCGAGAGATTTCTGAATTGAGATAGAGAGCTGGGGAGAGGAGACGGCGTCGGGAGGGAGATAATTTTCAGGATAGCAGAGGAGAGAGTGGGCAGGGAGTAGGAAGCAAGGACGAAGAGCGTTATCAAGAGGATTGTCGAGCAGACTGATAAGAGAGGATAGGAGAGGTGCAGGGGGCATGCGGGGCTCGGGCGAGGCCCAGCTGGATGGTCCCATTGGACCCAGATTGATGTAAATCGGTATTTGTCTGTCTTTCATTATTGAAAGCGATAGTGTGCTGTGTTTCGTGTGCTCACCCCACCCCCACCTGCACCTGCACCTGCATCACACTGATTGTTGGAGATCTTAGATGACAGGAGGGACCAGGGGATCAAGTTGTTGAAGAGGATTATTTGGATCTTGGTGAGAGGCGAGCACAGCTCGCTCACAAGCGGATGGATCATGTTGGAGGTGAGGATTATTCATTGGTGATGGACATCTGATTGTTGAAGGGGCCAGTCATCAGAGGGTCAAGTAGAACAGGTCAATTTTGATTGATTGATTGACTGTTTGTTACTGTACAGTATGTTGTACAAACAAGGATATGAGCAAGATATTATGTATGGTACCTGTGCAATTTGCCAAATACTGCTTCGCCGGATGAGAATTCGCGTAATTTTATTCGGTTTAAATCTCAATTCACTGGTATCAGTTGAAAAATGATTGTGTTGCTTCGGAGTGGTGTCTTCCGTTGTGTGGGGGATTGTCTGTGTTGTGGTAGCACTTTCATCCTTTCCATCAAAAATAAATTGATTTTCTCCTTGTAATCGTTCGTGTTGCTTTGCTAATTAGTGTTTGTTACGTTATCATTTATTCTGGCAAGCAGGGTATAGATTTTAGTTGATATTGATGCGATCAGAATACTAGGCGAACCGTGAGTGTGACAAAATGATTTTAGGCAAATTGAGATTGAGGTGGGATGATTTTAGTCGAATGATACTCAATCGATCATATACACAGATTAGGCAAGCCTAAATTAATGACGTAGGCAAACTATTAAAATGAAATAGCAAGTAGCGCAAAGTTCTAGCAACAGCAATCAAGGGCCCTTAAAGTTAGAAGGGAAAGGGATACCCTCTTGAATAAGGAATTAGTTCTAAAAGTAAAGAGAGGAAGTAGTCAAGACAGATAACCACTAGCTTCAATATTGAGGTGGGTAGTTTAGGACAAATCACTCATCACATAGAACTCATCTTGATGTTGGCGTGTACTTTGGGTTTGGCCAATTGGAGAACTAAAGTTCATTCTCACCAAGTTTCGATTGTTGATGAAAGATCTCCTGATGTTTTTGTTGATGTGCAGATGCCGAGCGGACTCGGTGCGACTGCAATGGGAATAGGCGTTAGTCACGGTGGCAGTGGAGCAGAGAGTGGTTGTCGTCTTCGGACATCGAGTCAGGGTCAGGCGTCCCAACAGCAGGCCAGTAATCAGGGATCGACCACCGGTGGGCAGCAGTCTGAACAGCAGCAGCAGTCGTCTCAAGACGTTCAACCACAGCAACAAGTTAAGCAGGAGCAGAGCCAACAGCAACAGAGGGTTGGCCACGGTGGCAGATCGAAGAAGGATAACTGCTGTCTGTGCTGGTGCTGTTGCTGCAGTTGCTCGTGGTATTGACGTTCCTTTACTTTTGTTTTACTGTGGTCGTTGGTTAATGTTGCTATTTTATTCAGCACAGGGGGGTAATGGGATGAGTCGGTTTCATCGATTCGCTCAATCCGTTTTACCGTTTTACTGTTGAATTAATTTGCCTGATGACCTGTTGTATTCAATCCACCAATGAACTCTTGTTCTCGAGTAGTTTTGATAATACTTGTGAATAAGTATAAGTACTTTCTTTATGTACTATTGAAAAATCTGCACAATTCAGTGGTCTATGATGAATTTGAATGCCATGTCAAGGCTGTTGATGGATTAACCGCCAGCACTCGTTCTCGTTTTTCTCAGATCCACGATAAGCACGAAAAATATGGGAGTAAATTGGATGAAATCGCTTTTAACTCTCCTCGTTGGTGAAACATAAGCATTAACGTGCATTCACGAATGAAAATAGTTTATGGAAAAATCGGTATTTTTTTTCAAGATAAAATGGTTTATATTCATTAAAAGTATTGCAATGAAAGGAAATAATGGGTTACCACTAATAATAACATTAATTATGGATTATTCATCCAATATTCTTGGTTCGATTACATTTCTAAAATAGTTTGATTGAGAAAGAAATCTACTCAAGACATGAATTTATTCTCACGATTTGATTGACTTAGTCTAACTGTTTCGAGAGTTTATAAAACTTCTAGGGGAATACTTTATTGGTTTTTTGCGATAATTCTATTGAAAGTTACGAACTCCTTCGTCGGTTCTCGAATAGATTCTCGTTTACCGAAAGAAGACTAGACGTCCATTTAATTACAAGCTATTGCTATTTTTTATTAAATATCTGTTAACGAGAATGTTACGATTAAATTATATAATTTTGAATAGAATCAAAATCAAATCACATCAAATCAAAATTAAAATCAAATCGAAGGCTCCAATAGAATTAAAAAAAAAATCCTATATAGTTCCAACAGAAATTTAATTTAAGGTCGTAATGAAATCTGCAAGTTATTTATTAAAACTTATTTGGCAATAATCTTAGAATCGCCCTACTATAATTATATTATTATTATTTCTTTCAAAGGATGATGTGGGACATGTCCTTGAATAAAAAAAATGTCCATTTTCCCCCTTCCCCCAGGTGAATCAATCCCTGATAAAAATCATTTAAATGTAGAAGAGAACCGAAAACATAAATCAAAATCTGATTTTTTTTTGAAAATTGAAATTTCCAGAGGAACATAAAAACAAAGAGTGCGACTAGTCCCCTATTTTTACGACTCTTTCCGGTTATAATTTTGTTGCTTTCAGTCCGACAGTAATTGCCAACGTTTTGTTCTTTTCTCTCGTTCAAAATTGCTACCTCTATTCCAGTGTGAAGTGCATTCGTGTCACATGGTTTGTTGTTTTCACATGGCATTTTTTTTCATTCTGTTTATTATTACCTAATGGCGAATTGAAAAAAAAAAAATCTACCTTTGATCAATGTTTAGTTGTTCCATGAGAATGAGTTGCTGACGGTTGAGAGGGTAAACGGGCCGTTTTGGTGGCGGTGATCGTTCGGGTCGCCGAACGAGATTCGTTGGGTGGTGGGTGGTGGGTGGTGGATGGGTGAGGGTGATTTTTTTCAAGGGGTGGGTAATCGGGGGAGACGGTGAGCGCTTGCGCTGTTGGATAAATGTTGTTTGTCGCATGTGTAGCAACGTTTTAGTGCACTCTGGGTTATATACGTTTATGTTATATTCTATTCGATTTTTTTTCAACTTGTTTCATGCCGCATACAGGAACAAATGGTAAGGCTTTTATGGAGGCGGTAATGTGGGCTGCGGGGGTGGGGAATCAATACACATTTTGTATGACTTTAGAAATGGACTGGGATTTTTTTTTTTTATTATTTCGGTTGACGATATTCTATGATATTGTTGTTAGATCTGACTCGTCGAACATTTTATTAAATTACTGTGAAAAATTGTTATAATATTTTCACTCTTGTTCGTAATAAGGGGCACGCCCAGTGTGTCTCACTTAAAAATCGAATTTTTGGAAATTTCTTTAAAGAAAAGCCGTGAGTGGAATGTTTTAAAATTTTTTCAATGTTTCCAGTTTTCAAAATGTTTGGAATGGGAAAATGTTCAACGGTTTTGGAGATGTTGAAAATTCGGAATAATTCGATTTTTGATGGATTCCATTTTGAAAGTTATTATAAAGTTTGAGGTGGAGATTTCACTGAGAGAAAGAAAATTCTTGCTTCCAGGAAATATCCCTTGAGTTTACAAAGTTTTTTTCTCCATTGGAAGATCAATTACTGAGCTTCTGAGGTTTTTCCTCTGATTTATTTGTAAATATCGTTGCAGGAAGGGAAGAAGTAATTTATTCGGAGGATATCATGCTCATTAATTCTCATTAATGTAGAACTGCAGAATCCGGTGACTTTTCCTGTCAATTAGACATTTTTTTCTCAGGGGATTTTATGGGGGAAATTAATTTCCACTACATTGAGAATTCTGAAGAAAAGTTTTCCGAATTATCATAGTAACATTAATTTTCCAATTATATAAATAAATTATTCAGATAAGTTACACCTGTCTTTCTATAAAATTATTTTAAAGCGGAAATTTTTGGTCTTCAAAAGGTTTTTCTAATTTTCTTTCACTGAATCGATGATTTTTTCAAACACATAAATTCCGAGATCATTTTTATCAAAAAGGAAATTTTTCTTCAACTTGAAAATTTCAAGAATAATAGTCTAACAATCTAGGCAAATACATAAATTAGTCGGATCCTTGATTTTGGGAGAATAATTATAAAAACAGTGCCGGTCGGGAAAAAACCTGTTAGCAGAGTGTAAATGTTAGGTTTTAAAAAGATTGGAAGAATTTCCTTGGGAGCAGAAGCACCGGAGCAAAATGTGTCATCCTTTCACCAAGATAAATTGAAAAATTCTGGCTCGTCAACGCCGGTAGTAAAAAAGTTGGTTTGCGAGTTGAAATAATAATTGAATTAATTCCGAATATGTATGACGTACCGGGATTGAGTCCCTCGTTAAATCCCTGGAATATTAAATTATCGAGAGCTATGAAAATAATTGGCGGATGGCGAGTGTGAATATTAATAAATGGAAATGTTTGCAGTTTGGCAGCAGTTGGAACTGGGAATGGTGGTTCGGGTGGCGGTGGAGAAAGCGGTAAAAAACGTGGAAACAGTGGAGTAGCCAGCGGTGATATTGTAACCAGTGATCATGGTGGTGATATGACAGTATCGAGTGCAGGTAATGGACTTGATGGTTTGGATGGCCTCGACAGTACACCAGAGTGTTGTGGCCTAGAAGAAGTACGCTCATGGGGCACGTCCTTCGATAAATTAATGAGGAGTGGAGCTGGTAGAAAACTATTTCGTGAATTTTTAAAAAGTGAATACAGCGAGGAGAATATTGCATTTTGGTTGGCGTGTGAACAATTAAAGCGTGAAAGCAATCCAGAGAAAATTGAGGAGAAGGCACGGTACATCTATGAGGATTACATATCGATACTCTCGCCTAAAGAAGTGAGATTACTTTCATTATTTATACATATTATTATTTAACTAGAACATTAACGACAGTAGTCAGAATTTTTTATCAATATTTTTCGTTTTTTTCTTTCAAAATAATGGAAAATTAAAAATTATATGTTTACTATATTTTCTAGTTGAAAATATAGATTTTTAATAATTCGTTGCTACCGAATCATTTTATTTGTCGAATATTCTGGTAATTTTTAATTTTCATATCGATGTGGCCGAAACCGTAAGAATTTTCGAAATTCAAGCAATAATTTCCCTGAATTTTTAATCTCTTCCGTTTTTCTATGGGATGAAAAAGCATACGTGAAAAATATATTGAGGATATTGTTATAGATTTTATTTATCGAATATTTCTTGTGCCCGTACCTCGTAGCCGTGTTGTGTTTTAGTCGATCGAGAAAAATTACCCAACGTTTACCTAAATTCTCTCAAATGACTAGATAATTTTTAGCACGCAATCGACTAATCGTTGTTGTCATTATTGTTACTGAAAGGTATAGGAGTACTAATTTGGCGCTTCAAGATCGCGATTCGCGTCATATTCTAATTTTTTTATTTCTAGTGATTTAATGGTGTTCCGCCCGCTTTTAACCACAATTATCAGTTTTTAGTTTTCTGACGCATTGTTGATCGGATTGACGCGAAAAAACATGCCGTTTTCGCATCTTATAATTATTTAATGATTCCCAAAATGCCATGAATCCGTACTAATTTTCCTGTATTTTTTTTTAATTTGGAAAAGTCAAAACTATAGAAAAAGCACAGGACAATTATCGCTCGATCATGAAACTTTGTGAGTCATGAAATGAAGAAATGCAATAATAAATAACTAATAATTGTTAAATAAAAAATTACTGGTTTTGATCTAACTTGAGAAGCCCAGGAAAATCATGAAACTTGGCGAGTTGTGAAATGAAATTATGGTGAAACTGAAAAACGGTGGATTTTTTCGGGTGGACCCTATCAACAGTTTGTAATTTTAACTAAAAGGAGATGGAATGCTTTTCTAAAAAAACGTGGAATGCTCATGGAGAATTTTGTGTTTGTTGACAGGTGAGCTTGGACTCTCGAGTCCGTGAGATCGTAAATAGAAACATGGTAGAACCAACACCTCATACATTCGACGAAGCACAACTTCAAATCTATACACTGATGCATCGTGACTCTTACCCACGTTTTGTCAACAGTGATATATTTCGTAGAGTAGCTAGATTGGGGAGTGGACCACCGAGTCCAACGAACGCCGAATCCGATCACGGCCCACCCAGTGGTAAATCCAAATCAAAGAAATCGGTGACGTAATTAATCGTGAACTTAACTCAGAACTTCAATATAAACAATTACTGGTTATTACGAATACTCGTTTGATGAAACTGGAGATGTGGGAGTACCGAACAGAGACGGAATTTAATTTCCATGGGTCAGCAAGAGGGCCAATTCAGTGGTGATGGGTGACACCGGAAATTTTGCTCAGTCATTGGAGAATATCTCATCACCGACGCAAGATACAGAAATTTTTGTACAACCCTTTTTTGTGGAAAATTTCAAGGGCCATAAAAAAGGTTCTACAGGAATTTTCCAGTTTTGTTTATATCCAGAGATATTTGAAAAAGAAACGAGCTGAGGTGAAATTTAAATTAATTGCGTTCGGAGATCAGGTTTTTTCAAGAAATCTCTTAATCCGAGGGAGATGGAAGAAATCTCTATAAGACGTTTTCTGTAGAAAATATTCGGCTGTGCAAAAAAGGTCGAGCAAAGATTCTTCTATCTTTTCGAGATTCAGAGATATCAGAGGAAAAAGTACTGTAGATGGAGAATCGACGTGAAATGCATTTGAAGACTAGTTTTCGGTGGATGTCTCTTAACCCAAGGGCGATAGAACTAACTTTGCTGGACCTTTTTTGTGGATAATTTAAAGAGCTACAAAAAAGGTCATTACGAAAAAATGACCATTTCACTTGAATCCAGAGATATTTCTAAAAAACTAGGCCTCCCTTCACAACCGTTCACCCTCTGAATCGGGCCCACCGAGATTAATCCAATAAGTCGCTCAATGATTTAAGTACCCAAAGAAAAAAAAATATTGCAAACAAAATGGAGTAAAAAAAACTCATACCAAGCATTAAACCATTGACAATCCGACGATCGTGTCCCCGGGTGCAATAAGTTACTGCAGATTTATCGATTTTGCAATTATCGCATTCGAGCTGAATGCGTTCTGCAGCTGTGGTCATGAAATAAAAAAAAGAATTTTCATTTTTCTACTTTTCACACATATTTCCAAAAAGTATATTTTAATTTAACGGGAATAAAACTTCCACGTGAACAGAAAAAAAAATAAATAAATAAAAATCATAAACTATTCCAAATAATCACATTTACGTAAACGTTCAGCTCAATCGTGCGATCGTTGTGTTTCTATCGAATTTATTGCAAGAAAGATAGTGAGAGTGGAAGTTTATGAGAGAAAGCTATTAATGAATTAGTACTTAATTAAAGTTAATGAATGAAGAAGTCCTAAAGAACTGAGAATTACAAAAAAACAACAGGTATATAAGTATATTGTGGGGAGAGGGTATGTACACTGTGCTAAAGGCCTAATATTATCTTTCGCGGAGTGAGGGGGGCACCCTCTGATGATAATGACCCGAGGGGTGCGGCCCCCTAGGAGAAGCTTCTCGGTCAAAATGCTCTCGCGCACGTACACTCGTACTCCAGGGTGTGATACTACACGAATTTCTTTCTAGTCGTTCTTCTAGTGCTGAAGTGAATGCAATGATATGATTAATCTCTGAGGGGGAGGTGAAATGGTATAGCGAGATGATGGGATCGGGGATATGAATCGAGATATTTCGTTGGAAATTCCTGCAAGTCATACCACAAGAGCTTCAAAATCATCAATCATTAGTATTGGTAATTCCCGATAGGTTCATTATATGGGGGAGTGATGGAGTCTAGTTTGTCAGGATAAAAAAGCACCAATGATTTTTCCGGATTGAGTTGACCATTTCGTTTATTTGGAGGGAACCTTGAGGGAATTCGGAGCTGCCGGATGACGTTTTTTATCAAAAAAAAAAACTTCCTTTCGATTTTTTAAAGTTTTGATTGATCAGGATGAGTCGATAACGCGAATGATTCACGATTTTTGAAGGAGGTTGTTGATGTTGAGGTCTCATTCACGGAGGAAAATAATCAAATATTTAATTAGGGAACATTTCACCGTAAGGGAAAATAGTTTTCAGTGAATTTCTAGAGAAATATGAGAAATGTGAGGGTAAAATCTGACACGTTCTGTAAATTTTTGGGGTGTCACTGAAAGATTACGAAAAAGATACGTAATTTTACTGGGAATTGTCAAATTTTCTGAATTATGTTCAGAATTTTTACATAAAATTTTGTAAAGTTTACGTTTTTGGGAGTAATTTTCATGACTTTTTTCTCCCTGTTGAGACTTTGCTATGATGTGTCGCATTTTCAAAAAATCAAATAGAATTTTTGAGAAAAATCGCCGTCTGGTTGTCCGGAGTAAATTACCGGAGTAATTTTGAAGCTCGAGTGGTATTCGACTCCGAATTTTTCTATCTCAATTTAGCCAAAAGAATTGAAGCACGAGGACAAATAATTTGACAGTTCCAGAAACTCATTCGATTACGGAATCATTTGTTTACGTATAGTCAACATGAACAATTACCAGTTGAATAATCAGAAATTATCAACTGATTGTGTTGACATAAATTAACAGGCGAATGGTGCAATTCTCGTGGCTGAAATTTGGTTGAGGAAAATTCCCTAGAAAATCCTATGACCCTGTGATAAATATTCTTCGGAAATTACGGACCTCGGAATTCGCTCAATAAAAATAGAAACGACTCCGAAAATTTGAGTTCAATGTCGTCATTTTTCATGGATAATTGGGGTAAAAATTACGGAAGGCACTAGAAAAAAAAAATTTGGAACCAAATTATTCCACGATTCCCTACAATATTTCTCCCTGAAATTGCGGAAAGACTAGGTAATTTTTATCAAACATTTCTCTTTGTGAAGATGAAGACATAATTAAAAGTTTTTTTTCTTTCAATTACCGATATTTCAATCAATTATTAAGATATTATTATAAATGGGGTATTTTTATTAATTTCTTGTGTTGCACGTCATTCTGAGAATTTTCAATTATATTTCATTGCTGAAACGGCGACATAAACATTAAATAATTGTGAATTTTCTAATTTGCAGCTCAAAAATTTGCGTTTTTGTCCCGTCGGTGGATGTGAATGGGATTATCTCTTTTATTTTTCAATAAATCACTGTTCATCGGTGTCAAAACCATTAATCCAATCATATTTCACGATCTCTCGTGACAGATCTTTGAGACTGACAAAATGATTGAAATATAATAGTTCGTGACATCGAAATGGACATTTACCCCCGTTTTCACCGATTTTCTTCGCGCATCCGCAGATTCTACACGCGTTTTATTTTCAATAAAAAAATTGAGCTAGGATTATTGAAAAAAATCAATGGGATCTGTTATTTTTACAGTTTACTCTATCAAAAAATTCTCCGCGGAAAATTCGCGGAATAAATGAGTTTTTCGAACTAGAGACCAAAAATTCTTTTAAAAAAATTTTTTTGAATAGTTCATTTGAATAATTTAGTAGTAATACTATGATAGAGTTCAATGTCTCATTTTTTCTTATCAATAAAAACGAGATATTAATTTTTTAATGAAAAAAAAACTTGCAGGACATGCAAAAAAATTCCTACAGGAAAATGTGCATTCCACTGAAGTTTTCCAGAAAATACCAATAAACGGGGAATAGGATTTTCTAACAAAGAACGGGATACTTTGAGATTCGATCCATTCCATTTCCCTCCTCCGTACGAAAAAAAAAAAAATGAACAAAAAAAAAATTGCACGAGTGAAGTCAAAGAGCGAAAGCCACAGAAAACCTAAAATGAGAAAACCAAATAATAATAGTCTAATGATTATCGATTAAATATTATCGTTATACTACTACTGCTAAAAAAAGATTAGACTTACCCCTAAAATCAAGAGTGATGAACAACCCGATAAACTCCCCCTAAACTAATAAACTAAAAACCTATAAACATTTGCAATAAAAGAACCTAAAAGGAGAGATAAATGAAGAAAACGCTGTGCATCGGTTACGATTACTTGCTCGATTCACGAATTACTATATTATATGGCATTTAAACCAATACAAGAAACAAAATTATATATATATATAAATATATATATATATAAATAAAAATGTGACGTGTGGAAGAATGCGTAATACTTGCAGTATCAGTCAGCATTGGACTACTGCCCTTGTAGATATAATAGTTAGGGTATAACGCTGTCGTTATTGGGATTAATGAATTTTTCCGTTGATTTTATTGTGATTGAAGTAGAAGAATGACCGAGTGCGTGAGGAATGCGAGATATAGAGAAATCAGGGATTCATATCCAAGTATGTCGCACGATAATTCAAGATTTGAGGAGAATGCGGGGTAATAAGAATATGTTTTTATTTCAATTTAAATGTGTAATAACAATTGAGGATTTTCTGTCTTATTTTTTTTTTTCATCAGATTGCTGCGAATAAATATACCATTTTTGCATTTTATAATTATTTAATGAAGCCCAAAATGTTGTGATCGTACAACAATTTCACTGCGCTTCTTCTAAATTTTTTAAAAATTCAGAATTTTTGGAAAAAACAGAGAAATTAACGCACGCTTGGTCATGAAGTAATTATAAAATGGAAAATGGTATATTTTTTTGGGTGAATTTGATCAACAATTTGTGAGAAAACTCAAAAAACTAGGGATTTACAGAATGCCTCTCTAAAATGATAAGCGCCTGGTTGAGAATCCTTGAATTATTATTAAATTCGACATTAAATCGATGCTTTTATTTTTCCATTTATTTAATTGTTCAACGAGTGATTGCTGAATTTTTAATTTATTTACTTATGTTCATTTAAGCATAGAAAGATGTTAAAAATTAAGAGTAGAACGATTTTTAATGGGTGCCAGTTTTACCCCAGCATTACTTCATTTCGGAGGGAATAGAATCAGCACTTGACTTTGGATGTCATAATCAGGATTGAAGGAGTCATTTGAAGGGAGATTGGGCGAGATATCTTTTTCGTTTTCTAAGTTTTGCAGGATTAAAAAAATCGGAGAGATGGCTTCAATTGTTGAAAACTTGAATAGAAATGTAAAAGAAACACGAGGAAAATGGAAAGTGGTCTGATGGATACACCCAAAAAAGTCAAATTAAAATCAAATAGAATAATGGGTTTAAATTTTATGAATTTCTCGATTTAACTCGTTTATTGGTCTTGATCCAAATCAATTTTTAAGCTTGATTGTATTTAATTCTTCAGTTTGATTCGGGATAATTTTGTTACTCGATTCAATTTTATTGTGCGACTTGATCTGAATCAATTGTTTCACTTGATTCATCTCGATTTAATGCGATTATTCGACTTGATTCAAGTTAATTCTTCAGTTTAATTCGAGTCAATTTTGCTACACGATTTAATTTTACTGTGCGACTTGATCTGAATCAATTGTTTGACTTGATTCGTCTCTATTTAATTTAACTTTTCAACTTGATTCATCTCGATTTAACTCAATTATTGGACTTGATTCAAATTTATGTATCAGCTTGATTTAAGTCAATGGTTTGACTTGACTCAAGTTAATTCTCCGATTCAATTCTTATGATTTTTTAACTTAATTCGAGTCAATGATTTAGCTTGATTCAAGTTGAACTTCCGGTCTAAATCAATTCGATTGTTTGACTCGACATATTTCTCCTAGAAAGTTAATAAATAGATTAACTTTAGACTAACATCAGGCTGAAAATAGAATCAAGTTGAAGTCAACTTGAATCAGTGAATTTTTTGGGTGTACTATGACCGTTCTATAAAAACTGGAAAGTCATAATTTTTTAACTAGCGAAATCGATGAAATTTGAGGTAATCCTTTCGAAAAGGTAAATGAAATAAATGGATGGGTGTTGGTAAGGAGCAGCGAGTGCAGGGTGCGAATACTCGGGGAGTGAGAGAATGAGTAATAACAGAGGGTTAATGAGTATTAAATAAACTAATTTGTCAAGTTTTCTGATGGGCGCGAAATGGAACGCTCATTCATCCGAGAATGCCGAGGGATGAAAAATACGTATACTAGTTCTACGTCTTCGTTGAATAAACGCACAATTTTTCTCAACTTTCGATCCCACGTTTATTTATTTGCAATCAATTTTTCGACAATGCACCAGCAATGTTTTTACCTCATATCCCAACCCATTATCATTCCTTCCTCATCAAGTAGTTACATCTCAATAGAAGTTATTATTTCAGTTGCGTAATGGTTCCCAATTTTCAGATCATAACGGGCAGTTGAAAGGACGTGATATTTTTATAATACGAGAATCCGTACCGCGAGACAGCACGCGGGTGTGAAACGATTTCTGTAAGAGAGTTACGACTTTGTAATCTCGCGCCACTTTAGGTGGACCAATAAGGAATCGTGGCTTCATGATTTCGAGATTTTCGAGATAATCGATTGTGTCAAGCGTGTCTCTTATAGAATAGGACTTAATAAAAAGTCCATTTACAAAAATATCACTGTCCTCAGTCAAATCCCTTCAATTGCAAGGTTGAAAAAAAAAATTGAAAATTGGTATTGAAAAAAAATCGCTTGATATAGTCCATCCATTCCCTACTGATTTCAAATTTTTAGATTTAAATTAGATTTTTCGGGGTTTTCTCCGTGGAACAGCCTCTAAATAATTTCAAGATTAAAAAAAATATTTTTGGAACTCTTCTCAATGAGTCCTCAATGAGCTATATGAATTAATGAGTGATTATAATTGATTAATTGTTTTTTCTATTCCATACTTTTTTTTCACAGTCTGTTAAATCAATCCGAACATGTCAAAATGGAGATATTCCATCACAAACTGTAACAAGAGACGGTTCCATAGAGATTTAATCAAAATTTACTGAAAATTTAGTAAAAATGTAGAGATTTCGGAAAATATTTTTTCTTTATAGCTGCAGATTTGGTCTAAAAAATTGTAGAACGATCTTGACATTCAATAGAAATCTTTCCATGAGGAAAAATTGTCTCCCTCATCCACACGATAATGAAAAAATGAAGTGACCCTGTGAAATATAAAGGTAAGTTCGAGCTCCGAGATCATTCGCACCCTGAATCAAGCCTGAAACAATAAAATATCCCACCATTAAAATTTCCTCACCTCCCAAATGGACCAACTCTACTTTCATTCAATGTCTAGGCCAACAAAGAGAACTATAAATATATAAATAACTGTACGATGCCCATGTGTAAATACAGTGCTGATGTAAAAAGCCATTTATAATGTTTATAGTGTTATGCATGGGATCATTAAACTGTTGTCCATCAGAGTTACAGGCCGAATGGTGTGTAAGCCGATAATAATGAAAAAATTATACCTGAACTATTGAAATCGATGAACTAGCAACGGGAACACCTAATTCATAACTCAATTAAATCTCGAAGATCGATGGACTAATGAGATAAAACTCCACGTCATGTGAACTTCAAATGAATGCAATGCATTTGATAAACTAGTTATTATTGTATATTATAAATAACTCCATAAATGAAGAAAGATTGAACGATTACACGCATTAACACGAGAAGAATAAAATGAACATTAATTAATTGTAAGTCACTAAGTTTGTATTTATTTGTAAAATTTTTCCACGTTGATGAGGAGAATAATGAGTAATATATGCAGCACCTGCCAGCGTCAATAAATGGCACTCAAAGGGCCTCAAGGCCAGTCTTCGAGGTTAATAAAACGAAATAAGTAAACAACAGATGCTTACTTAAAAGTCTTACTTTATTTTGAGACTTATGAGTCAGTGTTGAGTCAAGTTATGACAGTTTGAGGTCTTTGAAAGTCTGAGACGTCGATTGAGGATTTTGGAATGATGAAGGTGAGACTTTAAAAGGTCTTAATTAAAAATTCTGTAAGTCCTAACTTGAGAGTTTTAAAGATTCAAGATTTTAGAGTATGAGACTGTGAGATAGAACTTGTACTTGGAATAACTTGAAGAGAGACTTGCGGACTTTTCAAGGTGAGGGGTTAAATTGGGTCAGTTTAAGTCATTTAAAAGTCTTACGTGAAGTCTTTCCTGGGTTAAGTTGAGCAATTCAGGGTTCGCAGGCAGATATTTAATAGTCTTGAGTTGATACTTTGAAAATTTAAGGATCAAGTCAAGCAGTTAAGATTGAGGACTTGAGACTTTTGCTATTTGACTTGAAACGTTTTAACTCAGTTTGAATGTGCCTCCAAGTTCCGCATCGATAGAATCTTGGATTTAAAAGTAATTTTAAACGGAGTTGTCAAACTCTCAACTTTACGCATTAGAATATCTCAAATGAAGACTTTCAGGACTCAAATTTAGGTTTGTAAAAGTTTCATGTCAAGATTACCGGACGTCTCAAATTAAGTTTTAAGAAATCTTACATTGAGTTAGTCCACGCTCAAATTCGTATTCGTATTCAAATTCAAATTTTTCACACGCCTTATTTTGAGACTTCCTCAAGCCTCAAGTTGAGTCATGGAAGTTTTAACTCAACAGATCCAAAACTGTTCCAAGACTCAACTTTGAGATTTCCCTTGAATTCAAGTGTCTTACACACTGGAGTGTGAAATTAAATTTTCCATTAATTCCGAGTCTCCAAGTCCCCCAGCCCCCAAATCTCAAAACAATTTTAAAGTTTTTTTGCGTGATCATAATTCTCAAACTGAAGTTCGACTCTTTAATGTGAAATTCATCATAAATTAACCGATATTTATGGTAACTACGACCTCATATAAATTGTGAGAGATTGTTAACGATAAAGACCAAAAAATTGCGTAAATAATTGACCTGTCCTTCTCTGCGTTAAAACAATTTCCCATCATTGAAGAGCATTGAAATTGTGAAGAAATGATAATGGATGTATTTGAGAGTTGATGATAAAACCGTTCAAGTATCAAGTGAGATCTGACATTAAAACCAACGCCATTTGTTAATTATTCACCTTGCGCCTTTTTCAGATTAAGAGTTTGAGGCTTTTCAAATGATTCGAGGATTGGAAAAGATTAAAGTCGCTATGATCATGAAAATATTTGTAATAAATTTCAATGACCTTGAACATAAGACGAGATTAATTCGAGTAATGGCTCGTTCTGGTGGTTGTCCCCAGTAATTTTTTATTTTTTCTCAGAGGCTCAGTTCTGGGGGTTGGAGTGACTCCAGCGGCATCGCAGTACTGCACCCCAAGAGAGGGAATGGGGGTGTCATCCCGTCAGCCGACTCGGTAACTGCCCCAAAAGCAGTCCCGGTGTCAGGGGGACCCAAAGAGGATTGACCAAAATCCTCTTTAGATTTCATGTTAGGAGCAGAAATTATACGGGTGATTCCCAATGCAGATTTCTGTAAGAGTTTCTGAGAGCTCGGTGTTTTAAAAAAAGGCCCCCCATTATGTCTGTCACTTTATCAGTAAGTAGTCGTGATGCTCTGATCAGCGAATTATCAGATTCTGCATACTTTATCTTCCAGTCGAGGACTTTGTTGACATGAGGATTGTGATCCTTGAAATTCTGCCAATATTGGTAAAACTTTGAATCTTTATGCAACTCGACACCGGTCGCCTCTGTATTAGCCTCAACCATTTTCTTTTCACTCTCTAATATCTCCTTTCGTTTTCTCCATTTAATCAATGGTACATACACTCGTCCTTGAATCCTATGATTGTCTAATTCTTTCCTAACGACTTCTGCGGTCTGTGATATAGTCTGAAAGGCATTGGTCATCCCAAAAACCTGACTTTTTTCTGATAACGTCTCAGCAGCCCTCTTCGCAGATTTTGAAATTTCCTCACCCAATTGCCCAGCCTTTTTACCCAGCTCCGTTTTTCCTGCCTCGTCGATGACTCCCTGTACCTTCTCCTTCAATCCCT